TCAGATAGCTTTTGATTACTTTAGGTAAACGATTGGCTGGAAAAACACCAAGAAATTGCGCCATCGTCGAGATTTACACCGTCGGCTTTCGTTGCTTTTTCTCTGACCATCAATATTGTGTTAGACAAGTCAACATAATCTTCTGTACCTGGCACTAAAAAGTAATCGGACCGCTTTCAGATACACTAGAGACCGGTGGATGGTCTATCCATAGCCCCTTTTCCAAACTGGTTTGTGTTGCGGGTACGAAAAATATACCAAGTTCACTTTTTGTACATTCCGCTGATTTTGGATGAACGAGCTCCATGTTTAACCGAAAATATCTTCTGCTTCTTTAGCTGCTTTATGTCTCTTGGATGAATGGTAAATGACATGAGAAGACGATGCTTTTCCCTTTTTATCTGTTTTTTGCCTGTTTCTTCTGGGTTTTCCTCATCCTGTTTGAGCAAACTGTTGCATACGGTTTACACCTTTTTTCCCTGTTTCCTTTGCTGCTTCATTAACACGAGATTTTGCAGCCTTTTTAAAACATTTCCCTGAGATAACATCGCCCAAAACTTTTGCATCTGTATCGAGGGCAATTTTACCTAGAGCTTTTGCGCCGGTTTTTGCCAAAGGTATTGCAGCTCTAGCCAATCTATGAAATAAACCACCAAGACCATAACCCATCTGCCCATAACATTGTACGAGTTATAATTGTATAGATAATTAAAGAAACTATCGGTCGTAGTGGAGGCGATTGTTCTGGGTCTCGTTTCTTGTGAAGTTTCGGTAAGTCATGGAAGCGTGAGGGTTTAGAACCTGTGGGGAAGATATCATTATAAACTTTGTAGTTAATCGAGTCTTTCTTTAGAAGCTTCCTTAACAGTCGTTGCACAAAAATACGAAGGAAAGGTTTCCTTATCAGAATTACGAAAGTTTGAAAAGCTTCAAACCAAACAAAGGAAAGCAGAGCTAGATGTTATGTTTCTCAAAGATTGTCTTTCACTCGGCGTTTATCCAAAGTTTCTCTGCTTTCCACTACCAAATGTCAACAACCAAGATAGCTTTGCGATACGCAAACGATTATTACGCAGCGCAATCAAAAAGCAAACAAAGGAAGAATGGAAGTTATCGAATGAAGTAACGAAAATATCAGAAAGTTTAAGGAATAATTGTTGAGATATAAACATCACGCGAAAAACATAATTAAGTAGAGACGACACATGTCAGATGAAGTGGCATTCAGAACTTGTTATTGTAATATCGTTGTTGCTTAAACGTAAGTTGTTATTTTGTTCCACAATAAAAATCATAATATTTCACATATTATCCGAACGTTAATGCCGAATCTCGAATAATTTAACAGGTTATGGGCCCAGGAGCGTTTGAGTTTCTGTTGATGACGGCAAATACGGAAACTATATGAGATATCGCGATTTCATGAGAATGTAACTTACATAAGTGCGAAATATTGAATATTGCGACTTCGGGAAATGACGTAGCATTTACACAGATCGAAAATTTCAATGGCCAAAACTTTCACCTTTGGCAGTTTAAGATGCAGATGATACTTGGAGAGAAGGATCTCTGGCAAATAGTTATTGTCGATGAGGTAGAACCTAATGGTGAAGGAACTACTGTTACTCAACGTCAACAATATCAAAAGCGGGAAAGGAAGGCATTTGCAACAATATGTTTGTCTTTTGGCGATGAACAGCTATCTCTCGTTCGATCAGCGCGTACTGCAAAAGATGCTTGGGCGAAATTAGAAAGTCATTATGAAGTCAAATCTTTGGCCAATAAGTTATTCTTGCGAAAGAAATATTTCACTACAAGTATGGGTCTTAATGATTCCATGACCGAACATCTCAACAAGATGAAGGATATTGCAAGTCAGTTGGAAGCATTGGGTGAGTCTGTTTCTGAGGAAGATCAAGTGGCGACACTCCTTTGTAGTTTACTTGATTCGTACAGTGGCTTAATAACAGCATTGGAATCTAGAGCAGATGACTTATCATAAGAATTTGTTACTGCAAAACTTCTTATGAAGAACAGAAACATAAAGAATCCAACGAAAAACTTTTGCACCTGTATCGAGGGCAATATTACCTAGAGCTTTGCGCCGGTTTTGCCAAAGGTATTGCAGCTCTAGCCAATCTACGAAATAAACCACCAAGACCATAACCCATCTGCCCATAACTTTTTTGCCAGGATGCTCCCCTAAAGACAGGTTGCGATCCGTATCCTTTTTGCTGATTGAGATAATATTGAACATAACGGTTTGTTCTACTCATATTTTTTTCTTATGTAAAATAAGGTAAGGCTTCTTTTCTGAAATGAAGTGTCACTATCGACTTCCCTCGATCAAATGAGATGGGATTTCCTAACTCGTCCCTTAAGAGAAACTCGATGTCCTCAAAAGATTTTGTTTGCACGGGTAAATATTGAATATTAGTGAATGATCTTGAAACAATGTCTCCATATTTTCCTTGAATAGCAACTGCCTTTACTAATTTTACATTGACGTCTCCAACAACTTGCGTTTGTACAATGTTACAATATACATAAATCATGACGGATCCGTGCAAATCAGAAGCATAGGGGCTTTCGGTTGTTTTCGAAATCTCTACTTCCTTTCCTCCGAAACTAAAATAGTTCGTCAGACGTCCTGTGTATGTTGGTTTGTGATATGTAGATGTTGTAAAGCTGACATGGGATTTTGTTAGTAAAATGTCAAGAAATCGCTGTTGATCTTGTTGTTCAGTTTCAAATGAAACTCTAATGTTTGCCTGCTGTGTGTTAATGTAATAATAAAAATTCATTGCCTCAGTTTTGTTAGTAAAAACACAAAAAATATCGTCAACGTATCTGCGGTAAAATAGTGGCCTAGTGTCGTTGTAGTTCTTTAGCGACTTTCGTTCATATTAGCCCTTGAAAATGTTAGCAAGTATGGGTGCTAAGGAAGAGCCCAACTTAACACCGTCCAACTGGTCATAAAATTTTCCAAAAAATAAAAAAAGCGTCTGTCCTGTTGGTTTCAAAAACAGTCGTGTGAGGTCTGACCTGTTTATACTGAACCTAGGGTTGTGAGTGAATATTAGGTCAATTGCTAGGTTGATGGTTTCAGTAAGTGGTGTGTTAGTGTAAATAGGCTTTCAATGTCGTAGGAGATGAGGAATTTGTGACAAGTTGATGAGTTGAAATATGAGAAGTCGTCGAGGAAAGCGAAAGAATCTTTAGTGGAGTGGTAATCTGGTATGAGTGGTGTTAGTAGAGAACTAAGATACTTAGCTAAATTATAATTGTACGAGTTAATTAAAGAAACTATCGGTCGTAGTGGAGGCGATTGTTCTGGGTCTCGTTTCTTGTGAAGTTTCGGTAAGTCATGGAAGCGTGAGGGTTTAGAATCTGTGGGGAAGATATCATTATAAACTTTGTAGTTAATCGAGTCTTTCTTTAGAAGCTTTCTTAACAGAATGGAAGTTATCGAATGAAGTAACGAAAATATCAGAAAGTTTAAGGAATAATTGTTGAGATATAAACATCACGCGAAAAACATAATTAAGTAGAGACGACACATGTCAGATGAAGTGGCATTCAGAACTTGTTATTGTAATATCGTTGTTGCTTAAACGTAAGTTGTTATTTTGTTCCACAATAAAATTCATACTATTTCACATATTATCCGAACGTTAATGCCGAATCTCGAATAATTTAACAGGTTATGGGCCCAGGAACGTTTGAGTTTCTGTTGATGACGGCAAATACGGAAACTATATGAGATATCGCGATTTCATGAGAATGTAACTTACATAAGTGCGAAATATTGAATATTGCAACTTCGGGAAATGACGTAGCATTTACACAGATCGAAAATTTCAATGGCCAAAACTTTCACCTTTGGCAGTTTAAGATGCAGATGATACTTGAAGAGAAGGATCTCTGGCAAATAGTTATTGGCGATGAGGTAGAACCTAATGGTGAAGGAACTACTGATACTCAACGTCGACAATATCAAAGGCGGGAAAGGAAGGCATTTGCGACAATATGTTTGTCTCTTGGCGATGAACAGCTATCTCTCGTTCGATCAGCGCGTACTGCAAAAGATGCTTGGGCGAAATTAGAAAGTCATTATGAAGTCAAATCTTTGGCCAATAAGTTATTCTTGCGAAAGAAATATTTCACTACAAGTATGGGTCTTAATGATTCCATGACCGAACATCTCAACAAGATGAAGGATATTGCAAGTCAGTTAGAAGCATTGGGTGAGTCTGTTTCTGAGGAAGATCAAGTGGCGACACTCCTTTGTAGTTTACCTGATTTGTACAGTGGCTTAAAAACAGCATTGGAATCTAGAGCAGATGACTTATCATAAGAATTTGTTACTGCAAGACTTCTTATGAAGAACAGAAACGTAAAGAATCCAACGAAAGTAAGGATATTGGTGAGAAAGCAATATTATGTCAAAAGTCCAAAAACGACAAAGTAAAGAATACCAAATTCAAAAGAAAAGGTAAATGCTATAACTGCGGGTTACCTGGACATTGGGCTCGAGATTGTCGCAAACCCAAACAGAATCAGCAAAGTGACAATAGAAATAAAAGGGAAGAAGCATCCTACGAAGCCACAATTCAGAATTCATTATTGTTTACAGATAGCAAAGAATCTGCATGGTACATTGATTCAGGTGCATCATCTCATATGTCATATAATAATTACATCATGGTTGATTTCATCCCATTCAAATCCCCTGAAAAGGTGAAGCTGGGAGATGACAGAATAGTTCAAACACTGGGAAAAGGAAATGTACACATTGAGATTAAGTCTAAGAAGAAGTATGAACCAAGAAGATTTGTTGATGTCCTATATGTTCCAGATTTAGGAAAAAATCTCTTCTCAGTTAGTGCTACGGCAAAGCGAGGATACTCAGTTGAATTTAATCAACATACTTGCTTGTTGAAGAACAGGATGATTCGAAGCATGCGAATGTTTCTACAAGTGATACTAGCGAAGTAATATGGCATCAACGGTATGGCCATTTAAGCCTGAAGAATTTACGTCTACTTCGAGATAAAAAATTGGTTAAAGATCTTAATTTTCAATCAGATGATCACTTTGAAGTTTGTGAAGGATGTGCACAAGGAAAGCTGATACGAGCAACCTTTCATCGAGAACCTGCAACACGTGCTAAAGATGTACTTGATCTTGTCCATAGCGATATTTGTGGACCGATGGAAGAGATAAGTCTTGGTGGAAATAAATATTTCATAACATTTATTGATGATAAATCAAGGTACACAACAGTCTACTTTATGAAGAAAGGATGAAGCTTTTGAGAAATTTAAAGAGTTTGAAGCAATGGTGACCAATCTCACTAACAAGAAAATTAAAGTACTTCGATCAGATAACGGTGCTGAGTACACTTGTCACATGTTTGAAAAATATCTAAAGGATAAGGGAATTCAGCATCAGTTTAGCGTTCCAAGAACGCCAAAACAGAACGGAGTTTCTGAAAGAATGAACAGAACCATTCAAGAAGCTGCACGATCTATGCTGAACAACGCAAAAGTACAAAAGAAATTCTGGGCTGAAGCAGTTCATACTGCAGTCATCTTAAGAAATCGAAGTCCTACTGTTTTCGTGAACAGACTTACACCTTACGAATGTTTCTATTCTAAGAAACCTGATGTTTCACATCTGAGAATTTTTAGTTGCACAGCTTTCATGCACGTTCCTAAGGAAACAAGGAAGAACTGGGACTCGAAAACCAAGAAATTCACATTTGTTGGGTACAGCCTCACAAGTAAAGGTTATCGACTCTACGACGCTTCAACAGATGAAATCCACATATCAAGAGACGTGTTATTTGACGAAAGCTCATTTGATCGACGAAAGAAATCTACTATAGTAATACATAGATATGATAAAGATACTGTGACCGAAAACAGAATGATGAACTATTAGAAGACAATGAAGAACATGAAGTCAATGAAGACATGGAAGATAGTTCCAACAACAGTATGATAGATGAACAACAACAACCACAAGATCAGCACGAATACACAAATCTCCTGATAGACTTGGTGTGGTGATCACAGGTAATTGGTGGCAGAACAATGTCGCTAGCATTGATGATAAATCTATCCGTCACGATGAACCACTCAATATTAATGAAGCTTTTGATAGTCGAGATAAGGCGAAATGGAAACAAGTAATGGACAGTGAATATTCTTCCCACATAAAAAACAATACTTGGACATTGGTTGACTTACCTAAAGATAGTAAAGCCATAGATTCTCGATGGATATTCAAAGTAAAGTACAAAGCAGACGGTTCAATTGAACGGCATAAAGCTCCGTTAGTTGCTAAAGGATACTTACAAGAACATGGTTTGGATTATGAAGAAACATTTTCTCCAGTAGCAAAATATACATCAATTCGCTCTCTCTTTGCAATTGCTAATCACTTACATTTGGACGTACACCAAATGGATGTGTCGACGGCATTTCTGAACGGCGAACTCAAAGAGGAAATATACATGAAGCAACCTGAAGGATATGAGAAAAAGGGACAAGAACAGAAGGTCTGTAAATTAAACAAAAGCATATATGGCTTGAAGCAGTCTTCGAGATGCTGGCTCGATACCATTGATCAGTTCTTAAAGAAATCCGGTTACGTTCAATCCAATTCTGATCCGTGCCTGTACATCAAACGAAAGGGAGATAATATTATGCTTTTAGCATTATACGTCGATGATTCTGGCAAGTAACAACAAGAAAATGCTAGAAGAGGAGAAAGGTATTTTAAAGAAATGCTTTGAAATGAAAGATCTAGGTGAAATTCATTTCTGTCTTGGCATTCAAATTCAACGAGACAGGGAAAAAAAACAAATGCGACTTCATCAATCAAAGTATTTGACGAATTTATTGAAGAGATTTGGAATGCAAGACTGCAAACCTGTTGCAACTCCCGTTGAGCTCGGAACCAAGTTGTTGAATAATGAAGGAGAGCCAATGAACATAACCAAATATCAAGCATTAATTGGTGCATTAACGTATGCAGTTACAGCGACAAGACCAGACCTGGCACAAGCACTTTCAACTGTTGATCAATTCTGTGCTAAGCCTAGCCAAGACCATTGGAATGCTGCCAAACGTATTTTACGTTACATTAAAGGTACGATTAACTACGGCATTTGCTTTGACGGACATAAGGAATCTGAAGTCAAATTAAGTGGATTTGTTGATGCTGATTGGGGATGTGATCCAAATAATCGAAAATCACATTCAGGATACCTATTCATGATTTGTGGTGGATTGGTAAGTTGGGCAAGCAAAAAGCAAAGTATTGTAGCTGTCTCATCTACTGAAGCTGAGTATGTTGCAGCATCACAAGCATGTCAAGAAGCAATATGGTTAAGAGGATTACTACATGATTTAAACTTCACTCAAAAGGAACCAACTATCATAAAAGAAGATAATCAAGGAGCAATAAGTTTGTGGAAAAATCAGAAATATCATCCAAGAACGAAACACATTCATATAAAATATCATTTCATTCGCGACAAAGTACTGAAGAAAGAAATTGCATTTGAGTATTGTACGTCACAACAAATGGTTGCTGATATGTTAACGAAACCATTAGGAAAAACTGTATTTCAACGAATGAGATCTAATATGGGAGTAACAAACATTTAAAGGAATAGTGATTACTTTATATTTTTCGAAAGGGAGTGTTAAGATATAAACATCACGCGAAAAACATAGAGACGACACATGCAGATGAAGTGACATTCAGAACACGCTGTCGTAATATCGTTGTTGCTATTTTGTTCCACAATAAAAATCATAATATTTCACATATTATCCGAACGTTATTGCCGAATCTCGAATAATTTAACAATAATCTATCCTCTCTCGACTGGAGTATTTTAAACAAAGTTCTAGAAAAAGACATAACCATATTTATTCAAATACCTACATCAGAATATTACCATACATCAGAAAAAACTAAGTAATCTCACGAGGAACAGAACTCTACCATTCACACACAACGAGACGATAACCAATCTATCATCACACCAATTAAAAGACGAAGAACTAGAACTCCTTAAAAATGGCCTTGGGTTCAGCATTAAACCACTACGACTACACTCGACCGACATTCTGGCAACATTCGAAAAAATCCACCAAACTATAAAACACAACATTCACAATGAAGAAGACTACACGCATCTCATCTTAGAAAGATGAGATGTACGAAGTGGCACACATCGCTCACTTCGTACATCTCATCTTACCACCCGACACCAGCTGACTTCAAAAAACATCACTTCCTTCAAAACATTCGCAACAATCCAAACATTATCACTCTCAAACCGGACAAAGGCAGCGGCGTTGTAATCATGGATCGTCAAATGTATCGTAACTCAGGCCTTAAAATCATTAACACTACAGCAAAGTTTACCCCACTCAAAGAAGACGTCACACTATCACGTGAAGCCAAACTGCAACGACTATTAAGGAAGCTTCTAAAGAAAGACTCGATTAACAACAAAGTTTATAATGATATCTTGCCCTAGAGTTTCTCAACCCTCACGCTTCTATGGCTTACCGAAACTTCACAAGAAACGAGAACCAGAACAATCGCCTCCACTACGACTGATAGTTTCTTTATTTAACTCGTACAATTATAATTTAGCTAAGTATCATAGTTCTATACTAATACCACTCATAACAGATGACCACTCCACTAAAGATTCTTTCGCTTTCCTCGACGACTTCTCATCTTTCAACTCCTCAACTTCTTAAATCCACCAGAATCACAAATTCTTCATCTCCTACGACGTTGAAAGCCTATTTACTAACATACCACTTACTGAAACCATCAACCTAGCAATTGACCTAATATTTACTCCCAACCCTAGCTTCAGTTTAAACAGGTCAGACCTCACACAACTGTTTTTAATAGCAACAGCACAGACGCATTTTTTATTTAATGGAAAATTTTATGACCAGACGGACGGTGTTAAGATGGGCTCTCCCTTAGCACCCGTACTTGCTAACATTTTCATAGGCTCACATGAACGAAACTGGCTAAACAACTACAACGACACTAAACCACTATTTTACCGCAGAGACGCTAACGATACTTTTTGTGTTTTTACTAACGAGACTGAGGCCATGAAATTTTATAATTACATTAACACACAGCACGCAAACATTAGATTTTCATTTGAAACTGAACAATATCAACTGCCATTTCTTGACATTTTACTAACAAAATCTCATGTCAGCTGTACAACATGTCACAAACCAACATCTAAATTACACAGACCAACATACACAGGACTTCTGACGAACTATTTTAGTTTCACACCACTTTCAAACAAAACCAGACTTATATGCACACTAATCGACAAAGCATACAAACTTAACAATACGAACAATGACTTTCAACGAGACATAAAAAACATCACATCCACTCTTTTACGAAACTCTTTCCCACTACACTTTATTAACAGAACCGTAAAACGATATCTCAAGAACAAACAAAGCAACAACCTCAAACTAGATACCGAAACTCCTGACACGAGGATCACGACCAACACAAATGAAAATTCCAAAATACAACTCTATACTTCAAACTACCATACATAGGACATTACTCACGACACACACAACGCAGACTTACAAACATTATGAAACGCTTCTGTACAGATATTGACATTCGACTATATTTTCACATCATTCAAAATCAAAAACTTTTTCTCATTCAAAGACCCAATCCCTGATTCAATTAAATCTATGGTAGTATATGAATTCAATTGCGCGGGATGTAATTCCCGATACATTGGCGAAACTTCGCGCAGTTATCCACCAGAATAAGGGAACATACCACAACAGACAAAAACTCTGTCATATGAAAAAATGTTATATGCAGTGCGGTTTAATATCAAACAAAAACTCTCATATCTACCGACACCTTAAATCTCACTCATGTAAAACCAACTATTCACCCTCTTGCTTCAAAATCATCGACACTGCTGACACCTCATTCTCCCTTCAAATCAAAGAAGCACTCCACATTAACAAAACTAACCCAGACCTGAATGTTCAAGTTTTTAAATTCAATACAATATTTAGTTTATAATACGCTCGGACGCTATTTCCTTTTTGTTGCAATTTATGTATCATATTACATGTATATTCCCTTGTATCATTTATTATTTCACTCATACTGAAGATGGCATCATGAGATGTCGAAGCATGTCTATTCTAAAAAAAACTCGTCGTGTATATTAAATGCGCATTAGCAATAGTGCTTTTACGAAATTATGGAAACATTTCTTAAAGTCCCGATTGAAAAATTCCGAGCCTTGATCAGTTGAATTGGCTTGCGTCCTGATGATAATGTCTTCTGAACAGCGTTCACTAATGTACGGCCTGATTTGTTTTTCAATGGAACAGCCCAAGCATACTTTGAAAAAACATCGATACAGATAAGAAAATACCGATAACCTTCGTTATATTTTGTAGAGATTGTAAGTCTGCCAAATCCAACTGCCATTGGGCATCGATATTGTCTCCGTGTACATTAACATTACTTCTATCCAAGTAGCACTAAACAGATTGTCAAAATATGTCTTATGAGAGTTCGAAGGTCCACAGTTCTTTAGAAACTTAAACGCTTCACACATTCCATTCCAGACATGCTCGCGATTAACTGATTCGACTTCTCGAGCTGCAAAATTGAGCCAACGATCTTCCTCAGTCATTATTTCTAAACGGTTTTGATACTCTATCCAAGGGTCTGCTTTACTTTCATCCTTTTCGGCTCTTCGTAGCTCTTGAATCTTTTTACTTAAAAAATCACGAAAATAAAATTGATAAGATCGCTGTGACTAAATTCTTCAAACTCAACAGTGTCTGCATATATCTGATTAAACATGTGTGCCATATTTTTTGTTCTTTTCCAAAACGTCCAAAAGCAAAGCAATAATGAGCAACGCAAATAACATTTTTTAAGACTATAGTTCGACTATATATTGAATCGGGTAATGAAATACACGATGAGTGCTTTCTGATATTTTATTGGATGCTTTAATTGATTAGATAATATTTCTTGTCACCATGTTTTTTGTCACGTTAAGTTTCGAAAAAATGTTTTTATTTGATAGAAAACAATACATTATCGTAACTGCCGTTGAAAACGCCATTTTATTTTGTCATTTGTTTCACTTCCCCGTATTATGATAACCTATTACATTCAACATTCCCCCGCTAAGTTCTTTTCCGGTTTACACGCGCGCGCTCTGTTTACATCCTAGGACTGGAAACTAATTGACACGGTTAAGAGCTCCGTTTACTTCCGGGACCATACCTGCACCATAACTACTTACATATAATGACAGACATAACAAATATCAACCATTTCTGATGTTATAACAATATATTCGCAGTTATAGTAAAGGATATTCACAAAAGTGTAAATACCATTCAAGTCAGAATCTGATATATGGGAGTCTATAAACCAAACAGAAACTTTCTATTTCAGCCAAACGTTCCCAAATACATTTATTGGGATACTTACAAAAGAAGAAGAAATTTTAGTCACTGGGACACTGGGGAGTGACATGTTTGAGTTATTGGGTAAGTGGTGACCAGGCTTCAAAATTGTGGCAACCACAACTGATAGTTATCCTACCTGAGCTATTGATTTCGCTAGAGAGGTTTGACAATGGCATTCTATAAGTTAAAAAGTAAAACTCTAAGTTTTCGAAATTACAAAAAACAAACACGTTTTAGCAATGAATAAACACTTCTTAGCTATATTTGGGAAACAATGGGGGGTCAATTGACGAAATTTTTGTACGGGAGAGGGTGCGTCAAATCCTTTTAATGAATTCATGTCGTGTCGGTGGCTCGTGGTTTCTCGTTTTTTTTGTCATTAACGTACATAAAGATAAGGAAGTAAAAAGTCACATAACAAACACAAATCAGAAGGGTTTATCCGAACCTTTGCTCAACAGGCATGTTGCAAGTTACCGATGCTGATGGGGAAGCTGACTCTGTTATGGATGCTGTCACCTAGGAACAAACAAATTCACAGAAAGGCGGTAAAGGAATTATGGCAAAATTAGAGATTTAGAGATTTGTATCGAAGACTCGTCTCCGAAATTTCATATATACTAATAAATTCGAGAGTCACTATAGGTCAATAAATCGTAGTCTTTGTTCAAAGTAACAGATATCGGAGACCGCAGAGTGTTTTACAAGTTTCATTTTCAGACACAAATTCTCAATATGTCAAAGAACAGATCTATGAGCTCGTTTAAATGTATCAAAGACTTAAAGGCAAAGTATTGTATACCTGAGCACTAATGGCTAAATCAACATTTCCTCCGTTATCTATGAAAAGAACAAAGTGCTATCATTAAATGAAAAACAGACACCAGCAGAGGTGCATCTATGTCCATCTGACAGGTAGGATGCGGATTTCATGAAGATGGTGGAAAAGGCTGGCAAAGCCTTGCACTGGGGCTCTTACTGTTGAACATTGAAGATATTAGTTGAGTTACACACTTATTCTGTGAAGGGTTACAATACTTTGTATTTTTCAGCCTTTTATCATAAAATTTCATAATTTGTAATCGCCTCAAATGACATCCCTCAAAAAATCCACCAGAACCACAAGTTTCATTGAATAATGAGGTTGTTGTCACTAATAAACTCATTTTTGCATGTACGTTACATGTTTCACTCTTTTTTAAATTACTTTTCAGTTAACTATTTTGAAGATATTGACATATGTACCCCAAGGGGTTGTAGAAAAAATTTCAAGTTTATAGAAACATCCATGGTGTAACTGAATTTCTCAAAAAAAGAGTAAGATTTGCAAACATTATGCAATTCAGCTTGTAAAAACTGTACTCACTTAGAAATTCTTCAAATGTCATTTTGCGTACACTCTGAAAACAAAAAAACAACAAGGCTTTACCTGGAATGATATGTATATTGATGCAATAATAGGATACATATGGTATGACATGGCTAGTTGACAAGTGGCATGGTCAACCTGAAAATTTGATCCTGTTGCATATATGTATTTTTTACTTTGCTGAAACACTCCCTGTCAAAAGTTAAACAATAGAGTATTTGACTTCTAACAAAATGAATTATGATAATGCTCAAAAAGTTGCATAGCATGAAAAAACCTTGCTTTGATATGCTAGTGATATTGGAGGGTAGATATCAATACTCGTTATGTATAGGTTATGAAAGACTAGTCCAAAAAACCAAACATCACATTATTTTTTGTAAAAAAAATGATATGCAGTGTTTTCATCCTAAAATGGTAAAAGTTGTATTCAATTTCATGTACATATGCAGTAACTCTATGAAATAACAAGTAACTAGTTACTTTAATTCGCATTAGCCTCTTGATGCATGTCAGAGGAGTTTATATGGTGGGAAGCCATTTATAATAAACAAGTCATTTACAAGAACAGTTATTCCAATATATTTTAAATACCTTAACAATTTCAATGGTTGCTCTCTTATAAGCATTCCCGATCAGTGTTTTAGCTTTTTGGATGCATTTTATCATTTTCTCACGCTTGCTTTTCACTGTAGAAAGTACATATGGTTATAAACATACACACTTTAAGTTCATGATGGGTGATTAATTTGTGACAACACTTGGCAGACCTGCTGGTTTTCATTTTATTTTCTTGCTCTTCAATTGACATGGATGTATTTAAAGGTACGTCGGGCAAGACGGGTTTGCATCGTTTGGTTCTGCAGACCTTCTTTAGGACTTCTCGATTTCTTTTTGGCGCCATTCTACTTCAGTAAAGCACTTTAAATCTGTCTATCGTTAAAGTAGGCTGAAACTTACGCTCTGATATTCAAAATTTGAAGTGAACGAGCAAACAAAAACACTGCTAGCTCAAATTCTCAAATTTCGCGTGGTCAAAATCACGACATGGTTCCACCTTTTCCATCCATCAAAACAACATTAATGCCTCGGTCTACTTAGAGAAAGACTAGGACCAAATAAACATTGAAGTATAACAATAGAGAAAAAACAAATTTTGCAAAATATGGTGTTTTTTAGGAGTTGATTGGTTATGCTTGGTTTTTAAAATGTTTGATGTGATTGTTTTTGTAAACTTCGTTTGTAAACGTATTTTCCGAGTCTAAAGCAACAGGCATACTCTAAACTTAATATAAATCGGGTGTTGAGTTCCCAATACCGGTACCTCTCGGTACTTCTTCACTGTATGGGAAAACGTATGAATAGTTAATATTTCTTATCCATCATACCCATTGATCAATGATCATACATACCATACCGTGATACCATTGTCCTATACAGCTGAATAGTTCGCTGCTGCTGACTGCTGATCAACATCAAAGATCAACATTCAACGTTTGATGATTTGAATTTGAACGGTTTGATGTGTTGCAGAAGGATGAACAGACAAATTTTCCATTCACAAAAACGCATAATAAATAGTTAAACGCATAGGTTGAATCAGGCACTCGTAAATTTTTACCTTATTTTTGGCGATCGCCTTAATGCTACATATTTCTGATTCGGTGTCTTTTCTTTCAACGTCGTAAAGAAATCATCATTATCATCGTCGTCATCGTCATCTTCATGAGGCGCATCTGCAATAGAGCTTTTTATGTTTTTGCAGAATGGCGCTTTACCGTCGCTAAGTTGTGAGCTTACTTCTTCTTTGATGTAGCATTAGAAGTTTGTCTCATTTTTCCAAATCATTTCTTATTAAATTAGATGGCCAGCGTTTTCTTTTATCTTCCTTCTTTTTATATCACGCTTACTCGTTAAATTATAAATATCATCAAACCCGTAATCCTTGCAACCCATGATGCACTTTTTTATCGATGAGGTCCTTTACGTTCTGACCAATTTCATTCTACGAATTTGACATTGTAGCTAATCACGTGCTATACATGTAAAAATCACGTTCTTGGTATCGGTAGATACGTATCGATAACGCAATGCAATACGTAATTTCGTCACCAATGATTGATGTGATTAGTATCATCTTATGCGATAAGCATTACTAAAAATTCGCCATTAGTTTTAACTTAATAGTTAACAGGGCTTATTTTTAAATAGGAAACGTATGTTAAACGACCTGCTACGTTTTGATACCACGGACTGTTCATGGGGAAGGTACGTAGTTTTTTTATTTTGGTAATTGTATTGCACGTGACCTGATTATACGACTTAAATGTTTATTTTGGAATCTGGGAAATATTTCTTTAGAAGTTTGTAATTAAATCACTGCAATTGTGCGACAGATATAGCTTTTCCGTTTTTTTCCAATCACGAAAATAGTACCCTCGCAACACTTCTCTAATACAACATTGATGTTGCATGGTCTAAAAATTGATCCACGTGGACAATCTTTTGATGATACGACATTCTCTTCGTTGAAAATGATGCTTGGCTGCCTTGCTACTTGTCTTCTTTGTACAAAGTTTCCTTCGTTTGGATTGTAATGTGCGATTTTCCTTTTCGAGTGCTCTCCGTTCGTACGCCTCTTTAAATGAACCTACTCTGCTCTCGATTTTGCGCATGCACTACGTCGTCCTTTTCTACAATCACATGCAGCTCCACTACCATAGTCATCAACCAATAATTTCGTGTTCTTCTTGCTCGACTTTGCAAATTTGATATCACCTACGGAAATACTTGTTCGTTGTGAATTGCGCTTCATTTGAAAACGTTTTATTACGGTTTGTATATATTCTCTGGTGTAATGACGCAAATTTTTTTCTTCTTCGTTTTGAAATATTTTGCTAATATTTTCAGATTCACGAAAAAGTTTTAGCTTTTTAACTGAACTTTAGAAGCAACATCGAGTTAAGAATAAGACCGAGAATCAGCTTATCATCGCTAATTCCAGATTCATGATATAACTTCAGATAACTCATTGAAACTTAACATCATTTCCTATAGACTTGTAGAGCTAGCTCTTCGTCGTTAAATTAATAAGTGTTCGAACTGACGTCCTTTAAAGCGAGTCCTGCTCAAATTGAAAGGTTATGTTACCAATTTCTTGTTAAAGAAGTAATCGAGTTCTTCGTCTTTCTGTTCTCTCTTAAACCATTCAGAGGCAGCCGCAAACATAATCAAAGGTTTTACTTATCTGACACAACACGTTTTATGATTTTATGAATTTACTGGTTAGGAGACTAGGCAATTTAGAGATTCAGAAATACTGACCTGTCAGACTGCAAAGATACAAATTAATGTAGGACTTTCCTTCTCTTCCATTTTCTCTTTTACTTACAGTCCTGCGCTAGCATTAGTCCACACGTTTACGGCGCTAACAAGATCCAATGACTAACTTGTTGACCAAAAATGTCTCACGTAGGTGGGCCATTGTTCATCCTACACCGTCATGCAAAGTGTTGAAATGAGTTCTTTGCAATGATTTTGAAGTAAAATATCGCTTGTTATTTTGTATCTCCCATGAATTCACCCGTGACGTCTTCATATTCCTTCATAGGAGATTAAGTTGTTCCTTATGTTTCAAGAATTTCTTCGTGTCCACGAAGTTATGCTGTATTTTTTTCCCAGATACTTCTCTTGTGCAAGCACTTCATCCGTGGTTAATGCTCCCAGTTGCGGCAGATGATGGCGTAACGTTCTATTCATCAAAAAATACGGATTACCTCATTTAGCTCGGATTTGTCTAGAATTGTGTCAAGAAAACTAAGTATTTTCAACTGTCAGAAATGATGACTCATGTTGGTCTTTTTTCTGCGTTTCTAAGCTGGCAAGCGCTTCTTATGATAGGAAAGGGAAAATCTTGAAAATATTTATTCAAGTGTCGAAGCTGCAACGCCTCGTATGTGGGTCAAACCACACGTCATCTATACACCAGATTTTCGGAGCACTTGGGAATATCCCCCCTTACAGGCAACCAAGTTTCCCACCCTGGGTTATAAAGCATTTTTGCTCACATTAACGCAACTGGACACACCACCAACTTAGACGACTTTAAAATAATCTCCTCTTCTAACGATTCTTATGAAGTCTCCATTCATAAAAGCCTTCTAATCAATAAATACAAGCCTTCACTTAATGTGCAAGGAAACTCCATTCCACTTAACCTCTTTTAATTTCCCTTTATTTTACTTCCTAACTTCCTTTTCATATATCCATTTGACACCGCCTCCTTTAGTAGTAATTTAACACCTCTTTGTAAATATAATATCTTGTCTTAACATCCTATTTATTATTTGTCTGAAGATGTCTTGAGTAAAGACGAAACGTTAAAATAAATTTAATTTTACAATTTGTTTTTTGGTCTATTTTTATGGCTCTAATCAGAACTTTATGTTGGGCTTTAATTTTTATTACACGAATTCGATTTCCGCTCGGCAAGTCTCTCGCTACTATTTTAAAAATTCAGATGAAATTTACTTGAAAAGAAAGATTTTTAAGTTAATAACGTCAGAATGTCTATGTTTAAACGTAAACGATTAAATGAAGTATAGAGCACATTGTCTGCCTGGGTAATTTCACCCCAACGCTCACTTTATGTTGCCAATTTCCAAACATTCAATTAATGAAACAGAGACTTTGTCGTGGTGACAAACTTAAAGATGGATTTCAAAATAGCAAATATCATGGTGAATGGTGATAATAACAATGTACTAGTTCTTAAAAGAACTGTTTTAACCAGAACACTAACCCAACAATTCAAAGGAACCGTTATTTACAGCTAGAAAGAGACACTATGCATTTTGGCAGACTACTCGTCAGGTGTCAACGTCTGCTAAATGAGAGCCTCCAAATCATGCTATATTTATGTCACAAAAGGTCAATGTCATCCCTATTTTTAGAGATGGCAGATTAAACATGTAATCCTTTTGTCGGCAAAGGACAGGATCAGTCAATTTAATTAATAACGACGCCATGACGCGTAGCTGGAATAACGAGCGACATTTTTAAATAATTTTAAAGTTTTCATCAGAATAAGCATTGGCACAGCGAGTGTTGTTTAAAAGATGTTTTCCAATCGCTGAATCACATGAAATCGGATTTTCACTTTTATACCCACGTTTTGGTAGTTGTCGTAAAGGAACAGTTTTATTCCTGACAGAAGCTGGTACATGCTGTTTTATTCTTTCACTCAACCTTTGAGAAGTCATACCGACATAGCGAGCATCACACTCACATTTATACTTGCAGACTACATTGCTTGATATTTGAGCAGAGTAGTTATGGTGCAGGTATGGTCCCGGAAGTAAACTGAGCTCTTACCCGTGTCAATTAGTTTCCAGTCCTAGGAAGTAAACAGGGCCCGCGCGTGTAAACCTGAAACGACATAAAATGAACGAAGGTCGCTACTGGATGACATGATTAATTGAAACACGATAAAACTTAATGAAAATTGTTTTCTATTCTTAAAGCAATATTAGATCCGTTTTCTTGTTTCCTTTGCAAATATAAAAAAAGGAGCACACTACAATTTATTGAGTTAAAGTTATCTGGTAATTTTTGTCTAACTAAAACGAAAATGGCTTTAAAAGTTGACATTGAGCAAGCAAAGAAAGTGAAGGAATCGTCCTTCAAATTTGAAGATGAGAGCAATGTTTTCAATGAACGCCAAAGCAATATACAGAATAAATTGTTAAAGTGCTATGTTACTGAAATTGATTTTAAAATATACGAGCTTGTGGCAAAAGGCTGTGATGGTTGTCGTGTTGATCACCATCACAAAGGCTACACGATTGTTTGATGATGCCGAATGATGAAAGGGTATCGATATACTTTGATGATGCAGTATCAGAAATTGATGAGGAAGAAGTCATAAAATCCTTCTTTGATAGTTTACAAGACATGACTCCGATAGTAAATGGGCTAGAACTTATCAAGTACACTTGCAATGATTGGAGAAAAATATTTTTGACATAAAAAAAGAATAAATTAGAATATGAGACGTTGATATTCTTAAATACATTTTATTGAAATAAACATTTTATTCAAAGAAACTAGCAGCGACCACTCTGAAATAAAAAGAAATCAATCTTACTGACTGTTCTACTGTATCAATTTTCAAAAGATAAAGAATTCTAAAAGTACATACTGAAAAAATCTTCTAAGAAGCGATCTACTTCTTCGTCAAAACATCTAGAGTGTAAAGCAATGGACATTACATAAAAAACGACTACAACATTTAGCAAGCATATGAATTATTTGGCTTACAGTCAAATAGGACATTTGAATGGCAAGCATTCAATCAGTCTTTCCTCCACATCTGACAAATGGACTTTATGCCCACAGCTTGGTGGGCAAATCACCCATAAGTGACAGTGTTCACACAGGCCTAAAACAATGAACAAAATCACAACTTAAATTTTCTAAAGTCATATCTAACATTGAAATTGTATTCCAATTCAACTTACTCAAAATCGGTCTAATGGTGTTTTGTGTAGCCATTCTAGCTGTTGGTTTTCTTTGCTGATGTTCGTCTTATTTGTTTCTGATGACTTTGTTATGCGTGAGTGCTTTTACATGCAAAATATTGACAAAGGCTCTTTTGTTAGCAGTAATTTTCCAATGGATCGATTGTTTCCTTGGCATGCGTGCGTTTCAGTGTGAATGACGCATTAAAGCATTAAAACAGTAATTTGCCTCGTATGTCTGCAGGCCTAATGTATTTCAAGCACCATCAATTAAGATTGTGAAATAACGTTTAAGGTCATTGTCAGTTTTGGTTTGGAAAAAATATTATGCATCATAACTGTCTTAAAAATTATAGCTATGAGTCTTAACAATTATTATCTCTGCAATTTTTAACTTGTCATTATACTATGAAAACAAGCAAGAAATTTTTCATCATTCGTGTGGAGAAAGTATTTTGATGGAAATGTGATAAAAAATAACCTTAATCAAACAATCAAAATATGCAGACAAAACTTAATCCTTGAGATAATTATAATCGGCTAGCACAGCTAGAGCCCACATATTTACGAAGCTGTAGGTTTACTATTTTGGTATTTTTCATGGGAAAATTTTTGACGGAAATATGATTAAAAGAAGCCTTAATCATATAATCGAAAAATGCAGACAAAATGTAGTCATTGTGACTTTTATCAAAGGATTCATGATGCTTAACACAGCAAAAAAAAATTCATTGGAATGATAAGAACAATCATTACACACAAACACAAAATTATCTATAAACAGTTTAAACTGGCAGAAAAACAAACCTTAGATAGAACAGTAAAGACAATCACACGTATTTGTCATGGAAAACGCTCGTTACGTATGGATGGAAGGCCAAAATAGAGAAAAAAACCTTCGTTTATTGAAAAATACCCGGCTACGTGTGGACAAAACCTTAAACATAGCCAGAACCTGCGCATTGCAAAGTTGAATAATTCCTATTTTCGTATCATTAATATGGAGAAAAGATTTAGATGGATATGTGATATAAAATAACCTTAAACAAACAATCAAAAAATGCGGACAAAACTTAATCCTTGAGGTAATTATAATCGGCTAGCACAGCTAGAGGAATTATGATTAAAAGAAGCCTTAATCATATAATCGAAAAATGCAGACAAAATGTAGTCATTGTGACATTTATAATAGGATTCATGATGCTTAACACAGCAAAAAATTATTCATTGGAATGATAACAACAATCGTTACACACAAACACAAAATTATCTGTAAACAGTTTAAACTGGCAGAAAAACAAACCTTAGATAGAATAAACAGTAAAGACAATCACACGTATTTGTCATGGAAAACGCCCATTACGTATGGACGGAAGGCCAAAACAGAGATAAAAACCTTCGTTTTTTCAAAAATACCCGGCTACGTGTGGACAAAAACTTAAACATAGCCAGAACCTGAGCATTGCAAAGTTAAATAATTCCTATTTTCGTATCATTAATATGGAGAAAGGATTTTGATGGACATGTGATAAAAAATAACCTTAATCAAACAATCAAAAAATGCAGACAAAACTTAATCCTTGAGGTAATTATAATCGGCTAGCACAGCTAGAGCCCGCATATTTATGAAGCTATAGGCTTACTATTTTGTTATTTTTCATGGGTAAAAAATTTGACGGAAATATGATTAAAAGAAGCCTTAATCAAATAATCGAAAAATGCAGACAAAATGGAGTCATTGTGACATTTATAATCGGATTCATGATGCTTAACACAGCAAAAAAATATTCATTGGAATGATAATAGCAATCGTTACACACAAACACAAAGTTATCTGTAAACAGTTTAAACAGGCAGAAAAACAAACCTTAGATGGAATAAACAGTAAAGATATTCACAACCACCAATAACTTTTGACAAAAAGTAGTCAATTCGTACACCTCGCATTTCATTTGTATCAACATGGTAGGAGATAATTCAATGCATCATTGTTAAACTTGTTAAAAAAATGCACTATTTGTTAAATCTAAACTTGTTATAGGATGTATTTTTTCGAAAAAATCAAAATTGCTAAATACGAGGCATACACCACCAAGCAAAAAAACGTTTTCTCATCTAAGTCTTTAATTAGTTTGGGTGAAACATCTGTGTTTTGTTAAAACGGTTCAACTTATCGGTATCTAAACTAATCTAATAATTCTGAATGTCTGTTGAGAACCTGTCAACCAGATAATCATAAATTTTTGAGTTGGAAACAATTAAAATCTTCGTTAATCATCAACGTTAATCATCAATCATTACGTTGGCAAGAAAAATCTGCCAAGCTACTAGAACAAAAGTTGAAGCTGCAGAAAAAAATAGATGACCGTTTGGCTGATGTCTCCGAAGACACAATACAATTCAATATGGAAAAGATATCCAAAAAACACGCGAAAAAGTTTGGTGCATTTGGGTGTGTTTTCAGGGCTACGATGGAAAGACCTAGAGATGATAAAGTGTACAAGATTAAAGATATTTTTAAGGAATTAAACGAACTTTTTGCCAATACAATTGATCAGGTGTAAGAAAATACTTCTCTATTTTCATGCTTTTCCCTCACATAGCTTAAATCAAGAAAATGTTCTTTTTTTGCACGTAGGTAAAGAAGGCGTGTGATTTAGTCACACCTCTAGAAGACAGAATGCGAATCATGATCCGCTCGAGTGAACTCAAGTCCCCCATAAGCACACAATTGTTGCATGCAATTCAAATGACTTCAAACCGGGTGATGTCCGAAATAACGAATGTTTTGCAGAGTAGTGAAAACATCCCTTTGGATCAGTCGTTTACTGTTGATGTTGTTGCTGTAAGACAGCCGACAGGGTCCGGTAAAAAACATTCTACTTCACTAAAAGTCTTAGATTATAGCAAAGACAGCCTAGTTAAAAAGTCAATTATTACTATACGAAATAAGGTGATTTCTGCTGTGCTCGTGCTCTTGTTGTTGCAAAGACCATAGCGGACAAGAATCCAAAACTCAAACAATTTAAGCAGGGTAAAGCTATTCAGAAGCGAGAAGCTTTGAAATTATACAAGAAGGCCAATATTTCCTATGGTCTTTGTGGACTCCGGAGTTGGCGAAGTTTCAAGGGGTTCTATTAGATTATCAAATTCAGGTTATTGATTTTAATGCTCGAAATACAGTCATTTATGAGGGCCCCGCCGCAGTAAAAAGCTTATCATCATTACAATGTTATTAACCCTGCGAAACTTCCGGCTTTCCACGGTGAGCATTTCTACTGTGACAAATGCTTTCAGTTCTTCAAAAATGGTTTAAATCACCCTTGTTATAATGTCTGTAAAACGTGCACACAAAAACACTGCGTTGAGATTTCAGATGAAAAACATATGTGTTCGGTTTGTTTCAAGATTTGTCGCTCTACTGCATGTTTTAATTGTCATAAAAAATTGCGTCGGTCCAAAGGGGTTGATTGTCATCAATGTGTTCATCTATAGTTGACAAAGACAGACAAAACGAACATCGCTGTAGGGAAACTCTATGTCATATATGCAATAAGTTTGTACTTGATGATCATTTATGTTTCATGCAAACGGAAAAACCAAAACCCAAGAATGATAGTCTGATATTTTTACTATCATAAGAACATCATTTAAATTAGAGGGAGATACGCGTAGTAACGCCTTCCTACTAATTAATATCAATTTATAGTAATTATTATATAATGCTAAAGTACTGCATCAATAGCCGTATAATTGGGTGTTTAGTTCATTGTTATTATATCGTTTCCACACAAGCAATACCTGCACAAAAACTTTACATGATCATGACCATGTAAAGATGTTCATTCATCATTGGATAAGAGTGACCAAGATATGCAAGATGAATAATAGAGGGAAAAAATTCAACAATATCACTACGTATATATAAACGTATGATTAATGCGTTTATAATCAAAAGAATTGAACAATTTACAACTGACAAAAAACTTTTCCATTGATTGACTAGAAGAATTGACTTTAAATTGCAGTTTACTCTATGTAAAATTGTTAGGTAGATCAACTGCTAATATAGGATAGGTCAACTCTTAGAAGCATTAGTTACATTTCAATCAAAATTACTTATCCTTATGATCTTTCAAAGACAGGTCATTCAGAAGTATAGATTGTCATAATCATACTTTGAGGTTTTGGTGATATTTTTTTTCCATAGGTATTGTACCATGTTAGCAAAACTTCATAAATATTTTTATGCAACTTAAAATACAGAAATTTCATCAGAGGTGGTGTCTCTCCCAATGCCATTTTTAAGTTCATTATTTACTTGTCTAATTTGCATCAATGTGCACGGTCTTGTTGTCTGACTTACCAATGACATTGAAATAATTACAAAAAATATCAATATAATAAAAACAAAAACATATCTTTTCATAAAGTTATAAATTTCTAGCGATCCCTCTGGTTTCACAATTTTTTCCAAAATAAAGCCAACTTACTAATGAAAGACTTTTCAAATATAACCATAATTATAAAATGTCCATTGACAAACAACACATAAATAATGGACTTTGTTTGATTAAAATAAAAATTTTTTAGTTCAGCAAGAGCAACAGCCAATACCCTCTATGGTCTATAATCTTTTTCTCTTTATGTTTTATTCATTTTGTAAAGTTTCACATCAGTCTACATTCTACATGAAGTTTTCGAAAACAAGGCTGTGCATGAATGTCTTAAATGGCAAAGAAATCTTACTTTTTAAAAAAATACTGATATTGATTCAAGTAAATTGTTGTTATACAATTGTTGAGAATAGAAAATGTGAAAACAAGTTAAAGAAAAGTAGGCCACATGGTTAAATATCAGATAGAGAAAAGTGTGTGGTATTTGGAGCTTATAGGGATAAACACATTAATGTTTGTTCAATGGTCAACACAAGTTGGATATTAATGAGGCAATATAGGTATGATTAGAAAAAGCAAGAGAAAAATGTCTCTCTCTCTCGAAATTAAAGTATGTAACCACAAAACATATAGCATACCCATCATCACCACCAAAGACATAGAGTGCACTGTTATATGCTACCATTGTGTGCTTGCTACGTCTAAAAGTTTATAAAAAACAATAAGCTTCATTTCAAAAGAAACTTAATTCGAATAAAATGTCAATGTAAAACCACCCGTTTAGCTCATTCTAAATGGGTATTACCCAGAGTTCTAAATTTTAGAATGCGGAAGATAGCCAATTTAGATTGCTTTCTGTGCTATCTGAAGGCTATGTTTGTCTCTCCTGACCTCAATATCTCTGGACACTGTTAGTGTGAGACAGACAGAAAAGATGGCGCTTAGTAGGAGCGGCAACCGCAGGGTAAAACCATACTCTTTGACTGTGAAGACATACTCTGCGGCTGGGAAACTTAGTAGGAAAAATATTTCTCTCTCTCCTAATGTTGTTCTTCCCATTCGCACGATCGATGCATTTGAAGGCTTTCAAGAAAACCTTAACGAAGGTACAAATAATTTACGTGGAACTGGATCTCGATATGAAAGGAGGAGAGTGAATGAAAGCGAATCCTGGAAGTGTTTGCAAGATAATTTAGTAAAGTCGTACATCGAAAATTGTGCCATGTTGCCAGGACAACTCTGCGTAAAATGTTTAGAAGATGGGATACCAGCAAAGAAAGCAGAAATTAGATGTCGTGATCAGTGGCGTAGCTAGCGGTCCCGCTACTCCCGCCCGGCAGGAGTAGAAATTTCCCAAAAAAATAATAAATATTCTATTTGGACATAAGATATACATTATTTCACGAACAATTTGTAATATTATGTTTTATTCGTTCATATTTACGCTTTTATTAGGTGGTTCGTAATCGTAATACAGCAAAATCTCAAGATTTGTTATGTAACCTAGCAACCGCCTTTTCTCGCACATTGCATACTCGCGCGATTCTCCACGTATTCCGCCCATCTTCAGAGGGCGGAACATAAAATATAATTCTATATAAGAAGTTTTGAATTCTGGTTGGCTAAGAGACTTGACGCATGCTCAAATCTGCTGTTTTTATAGTCGAACTCCCGCTATTTTAAATTGGCGGAGGTTGTAATTATTCGACCTTTTAATACGAGTACAGCGATTAGTGATTATCAAATTACGTGTCATTGTCGGTATTAATTTTCCATTGTGTTTACTCTCAAATTGCTATTTTGTATTTGTGTATGACACAATGGCTTCAAGTGCGACTGCGATTTGCTCAACTGATGTTGATTTAGTAAATAGCTTATTAGCTAAACCGTTCTCTGCTCGATCGTCGGTCGAACAGAATGTTATCGTTCATGAACGGCCTACTCCTGATTTAACTATCCAAAATAAGGGAAGAGCATTTCAGAGAGATTGTTATGAGGCGAAGGACTGGCTGTGTGGCAGTACAACCTTGCAGAAAGTGTTTTGTTGGCCTTGTCTAGAAAGATATCATTGAAAAGAAAGAGGAATCAGAGGTGTTGCATAACGAGGTGGTTGAAAAATTTGTAGAAAAACCCAGGAGGCTGGCCTTTCTTTATAAATGATGAGTATAGTATGTGTTTTGATATTTGTTCGTATAATACATGGTACTTCATTGAGAAAATTAAGCATAACTTTAAAGAATAAAGCCATCCCTGTCTACTTGCCCCAATCTAAACAAGTTTAAACTAACAAGTAGAATGCTAAGAAAAATCTCTCTATGCGCTTTAGAAGTGTCGTATACTATATTATTTTTTGTGCTAATACAAATTTCTTCTGTTTATGCAGGGGCAGTGATGAATAAATTATGTTTTAGGGGACAATTGTCTCCTGCGTAACGTTTCTCTGAGCCACCTTTAGTACCTTTATAAATTATTGTACAACAAATAATTCGCCCTCGAAATCGCAGGAAATGCTGTTTCCAAGGCTCTAGATTTCAAAATTTTCCGGGGGAGCATGCCCCCGGACCCCCCTAGTGGGGTCGCGCCTCCGGTGCGAGATGGATTGGCGGGAGTGACTATTTTTCCTAGCTACGCCACTGGTCGTGATTGCGGTCACGGACAGTTCTACTGTTTTGAGTGTGCGGAATCCCTTCATCGAACGAGGAATGTTTTCCATTTGGTTGAAGTATGGAAGGTAAGCTTAATTCTTTCTGGCGGCACAGATGAATCCCTATAAAATTTGCCTGCCAGCAAAACATAAACAAGTTAAGTCGTCTATTAGAAGGCAATTCTAGGTGATTATTTCCAAAAGTCAATGCTTCAGATGAAATATTTTTGCTTTTTACATTTGGAATTTGGCTTGTTAAGTTCTATTATTCATCAAATGCTGGCAATTTTTTACAACCATGTCGTAACTCTAAAGTAACTTAATCTGTAGTATTTTGTTAAAACTATCAATCATTTTCAAGAAGGATATGCTGCTATATGCTGTGCATGGTGCCTTATGTAATGTATACATGTTCTGATGCTTAAATAACTACTCTTTAGACTGATTGTGAAATGTTTGTTCCATTACTCTTTGGTGGTATATTACGTGACAGTCAGCATGCTAACTGCTCTTCAACAGAATCACGTACTATAATATGTGTGGATGGAAAAGGTAGAGAATGGCAACAATGACAGTATTTTGACTTTAACTACATGTAAATGTGTATATGTTAGTAATACTGTTAAGCATTAGCTTCATTTAGGCCAATAATTTCTATGTTAATTATTTACATATCAATTAATCCAATTTTTAATCTCATACAAAATTTAGGTCGGCAGCATTTAAAAATTGTTGAATTCTGTCAGTGTATTAAGGATGCTGAAAAACTAATTAAACTCCAGCTGTGGCCAGGCTCATCTTCTAAACCCAAAATTGCATTTCACTTTGACTTCATGGATTTTGCTGAAAAATTCTTGCTCGAGAGCCATGTATCCTTGCACAAATTTTGCAGCACTGTTGAAGTTGAATATCCTGAAATGCTACCTAGACTGGTATGTATTTCTCATAAACCTGAATTGTGCACCCATATGATAGTCTACCCATCAAATAGTGGAAATAGATGGGTTGTACTTTGCAAAAAAAATTTATTGAATCACTGTTATTTACAAACAACATAAATAATGTGTATTTGCCTCAAATAAGGTAAGAGCACATTCAAATTGTACATGAAGTTTCCTTTGCTGTTATAACTTTGTGTATTCAACCTTATTTTATTTTTGAAACAAATGCACAAGTTTACTAGGTGTTCATTTTATTCTTGTTAAGGTCAAAACATCTATAATGTGTTAAACAATGGATCATTTGATGAATACAGGTATGTTATATGTTATAAAACAAAAGTCTATTTACATTTAATGTAGACCTAATAGTTAGATTATGTGTGTAGAGTAGTACAGTCTAACCTGTTTTAAGTACAGACCATTGGACAACAGACTAGTGTCAGCTTAATGAAAGTGTCAGCTTGATTGAGGTTTCATCATTATACTTCCATTATTATTAGCTATATGAGATTAAGTTTTGGATTTTGCACAGTATCTGCTTAGTACAGGGTCATTTAATACAAGAGGTTTGACTGTATATATTATATCATTTAAGAATTTGATTTTTTTGTCAGATATTTCAAACACCAAGTCAGATCATTAAAGTTCATACAGAAAGACCTGATTGATTATAGAAATTGCCCTCTTTGCCCACAAGTCAGTATTTGATTTCTTTTTTTCTACTATTTGCTTTGTGAACTATTTTAAATTATATCTTTTTTGTCACATATATTATCAGAACATTTAAAGTTGTTGTGAAATATGAAGTGTTACATGTTTACCATGAAATTCGTTTCATTTTATTAAAGAGCTTTGTTTGCTTTAGACTGGTGAGTTAGGTGTGGCCATTCATTCCATGGATGCTTGCTTTGGTCTAACTCATAAAAGTTGGCAGGGAATAGTTTTGCCGTCCCAAACCATGGCTGCCTTAAGTTTGCTGATCAGGATGAAGTAGATGATTTTGTTGATCATTATAGCAAGTCTAATAACAAAGTAGGAGAGGTAATTATTGCATGATGAAGGACTTTGTAGCCTTTTCAAAAGTATTCTGTGAAGGGGGGTAGTGAATAGTTTGAAAACAAACTTTATATGTAGTCCAATGAAAAGCAATGGCAAAGCCAGCACTTTTTTACTTTTACATTGCAAATATTTTTGTATTAAATCACTGGAAAAACAATGAATAGATTTGATTTTCTAAAGAAATTATTAACAATTTTGCTGACAAATTAGCATTGTAAGAGTAAAAGATTGGGCAGGCTTCGCCCCTGAGAAAAGTAGGTCTATGCTTCATGCAGGTCCATGGGCCCTCATACATACGTAAGTAGCTACGTGGATTTAAAATCAAAATTACAAACAGCCAATTTTTTTCTTTTTTTTTAATTTATCATGTCTATGCATGGTCTATGACTTGATTGTGTAAACTGTCATGTATTTTTTTATAGTAATAAAACAATTGTTATGTATGTGCTAATCTATAATGTTCTCCAACTTATTTTAGAGTTGTCAGATATTTAAGGCAGGAGAAGTTACAGAAGCACTTCACTCCAAAGGAAAAAATCAACTGTTTGATGAAAAAGGAGTGTTTGGTAGTTGTTGCAGTCGGCATTCACACCCTGGACGATTTTTCAGCACTAAATATGGGGAAAGATTAGTGTCTTAGCCTTGGTTTGCACGTAATTATCAATATTGTTGATCTTTGATGAGGTAGTATGGAGAACAAATCGTCGATTTATAATTTCTTTTCCTGTGTCAATTTTGAAATAAAGGGACAAAGGACAAAACGATTCTGTGCTAACGAGATCTATTATTACCCTTTAATAATATCACTGGTCAACAGCAAATTTGGTGTCTCAGTTTTGTAAACTGATTTTGGACAATTTTGATGTGCTGAGTCCAAAAATAACATTATTTTTGCTGGGTCAGGTCGAGATTTTAAGCTATCGTTAATTTTCTATTTTTTAACTTTTAAATACCCGAGAAAGGTACAACAGAAGTACTAACCATTTACCTTTTAAAGTTCTATCATCTGAACAAATTAAAATTTTTTAGCACTAGCAATACAAAGAAGAAAGCATTTTAATAAGCAATTATTGATTGAATTTCAATAAGGGAGTTTAGGTTTTGCGATTATTATGGGATATTTAAAGATAAAATAAGGCTTTATTTAGCCCATACTGGAATTCAATGGTAAAACTTGTTAAAACACACCAGCATATTAATGTAAGTAAAAAGTAATAAAAAGTAATAAAAATAAGCCATATGTTTTTTGCTATGTTTGTGGTGAATACACATTTGCACCAAATCGCAATACTGTCACCACCTTTATCAAGCGCGTTTACTATGCATATTTTGGCATGAAGCTCGGCGATCAAGACAAAAGTTGGGCACCTCACATGGTTTACAAAAGATGCACAGAGCATCTCCGTCAATGGAGCAAAGGCACGCAAAAGTCCATGAACTTTGGCATCCCCATGATTTCGTGAGAGCCTTCAAATCATGCAACCGATTGATACTTTTGTGCTATCAATGTCATGGGAACTAACAGAAAAAATCGCACAACACTGGAGTATCCCAATCTACCGTCAGCTATGCGCCCTACTTCTTATAGTGAAGAAATTCCCGTATTTGTATTTCAAGATACAAGTATTGAAGAAAGTAGTAGCCAGGATGAAACTCAAAGCATTGCCACTACCGATGATGCATCCTTTCCCGATGACAATGATGAGCAGCCAAAATTGTTTTCCAAAAACGAACTAAATGATCTTGTTCGCGATTTAAATTTGCCAAGACTCTGCCAAACTTCTTGCATCTCGTTTAAAGGACAAGAGCATGCTAAATGGTAAAGTTAAGGTAAGTTTCTTCCGTACCAGGCACCAGGAATTTTTAAGATCTTTTGCTCAAGAAAAAGAATTAGTTTATCGCAATGACATAGTAGAGCTACTGAAACATCTCGGCGTACCTGAATTACAAATCAGAGGATTGGCGACTTTTTATCGACAGCAGCAAAAGGTCTTTGAAATGTGTGTTGCTATACAATGGAAATCAATTTGCATCTGCGCCATTGGCACATTCGACAACATTAAAAGAACAGCATGCAGCAATTAAGTACGTCCTAGAAAAAATTTCTTATGACCAACGTAAATGGATGATTTGCGTTGACTTAAAAATGGTCAACTTCTTGCTTGGTCAACAGTCTGGATTTACCAAATACCCATACTTTTATGCCTCTGGGATAGTAGGAATCGTACTCATCATTACGTGAAAAAAGAATGGCCAGTACGTGAAGAGCTTGCAAGTTGTAGAGCAAAAAATGTGATAAACAAGCCTCTAGTTGACAAGGGACGTATTTTATTTCCTCCACTGCACATAAAGTTCGGTTTGATAAGGCAATTCACTAAAACTTTGGATAAAGATGGACGGTGTTTTCAGTTTCGTTGTAAAACCTTCCCCTATTTTTCAACTGAAAAATTAAAAGCTGGTATTGATCCCGAAAATCTTGGCTCTTTAAGCGATGAGCAAGGAGAGCGCTTTCACCATGACTTAAGAGAAAAGTGGGACATGGTGATGATGGCGGACAACTGTTGGAATTTAAAAAGAGATGTGCAAGCACCAAAACATTCGCGACCATCAAAAAAAACGAAAATTTAGATCGTAATAATGCAAACATTAACTTTTCATTTTTAGTTAAATGTACTGTACATGAGGTGTACATGATTCTTTCTTGGAATACTGCAATTTTATCATAAAAACTGACATTTTGTTTTGAAACATCTTGAAACCATGTAAATCTTGAAAACCTTGTTTTAAAAAAATATAACTAAAGTCGCATAATTTCAAATTCAAATTTGCAAAAAAATTTGACCTCCGAGAGCAAAATGAATGTTATTTCTAGATTTAGCATAGCAAAAATATAGTAAATCAGTCAAAAAATATCAGACACCTTTTAAAAAGTTTCTTTTTGTTGACCAGTGTATTTAGTGTCTTATTATTAATATTCAGAATTTCGTATTCGCTGTTCCTAATCCAAAGCATTTTAAAAGATGCTGACCAAAGTCCTGGTGTTGATTTAAAAATAATGTATGATATTGGATGTGTATTATCATCACATTTAAAGGTATCTTAATGTTGGCATGTATGATGTGGGACAAGTTCATTCACCAACTAAACTTTGAATAAATTGGTACCGTTCTAGGCAAACAAGAGGCATGACATTTTGTCAAAAGTGTCAATTTCGGTGCCGATATTTCATTGTTATGGACACAAGGCTTCATGCCAGGTAATGAAAAAAGCTTTGTACCTGGTAATGACAAGGATGGATTAAGAGGCGGGATTGCGAAGGAATGTGCTCTCCTCCAACCTTGATTAGTGGAGATGGATGAGGAGTGGCATTTTCCCTAAGAAATTTATGTATATCAAACCATCAAGCGATCGTAATTGGGGTTTATGGAGCACAATTTCAAAAATCTCCAATCATTTTATATAAGTAACAAAATTTAACGAAAAATGTCTTGCATGTTACGGCAACAAGCAGCCACTAGAATCTTATCCAAACTAGAGCACCCCCTTCCTCCAGAAAAGTACATCCCTGGGTAATGATGTAGCGATTGAAGAAAGACAATCTTTTCTGCTCTGGTTTCTTCCTTGATAAAAGCCCCGTAGGTAAAATATTATTTTTTAATGTCTTCAAAAAAACAGGTCAAGTTCAGTCCTAGAAGGCTCGATGGTTTTGGTCTTACAGATGGTGAGGCTATTGAAAGGCTCTGGGCTTACCTTCGTGGGTTCTCAGCCATTACTAAGGAGATGTCTGCCAGTAGAAGAGTAGATCTTTTGACAGACGCGCTTCTTCACTTATCTCGAAGAAATTTTAGCAATGCAGGTGCTTGAATATTGTCATTGCTTTATGCGTTGACACAATGAGAATGTTTTTATTTGTTTGTTGCGCCTTAATTGTTTTAATTTTTTGTATATGATTTGTTTCAGGAAAATCGTTAACGTCGAAGCTTAAAAAATGTCTACAACTTAAAATTAAAACGCAACAAGAAATGAAGGATTTATTTAGCGAACTACCTGGTAAGTAGTTCTGGTAGGTTAGAAATTTCTTATGTTTTCTGTGGCCGAAAAGTATTTAAGATTTCTTTTTGCCTAACCAAACTCTCAATTCAATTTGCATCCAAGGAAATAAGAATTTATTTTGTTTGTTAGTGACGTACGATCCTGAAATTGTTTGTCAGTGGGAGGCCAGAGAGAAGGAAATTATGTCAAGAGTCTACCCAGGTATATAATGTTATTCATGGCAAATAGTTTCATTCTTAACAATTCAGTCTGTAGGATATAAAGACATACTTTTAAATACAGAACATAAAGAAATCACGGAAAACTGGAAAGTGACGTACGTTCAAAAGCTACTGCATTTTAAACAACTAAGGTAGGTTTTTTAATGTACTAAACTGGCTGTTTCTCTATAATACATGCCTATAGACGTTTTAATATTTCTTTTGAGCCTAATTGGTGAATTATTAAATTCTTAGTGCTACATCATTCGGATGTTTTGAAGAAAACCAGCGGATAACATCTGAAGATTACTCAATTCATCAGATGTCGAAAAAACTATACCAGTATGTATAAATGTGTCAAAGCAATATTTTGCTTTAAAGTTTTTTTTACATACGCGCAAAATTTATGTAAACAGGTTTCGAAAGATTTTAAAAGATATTGAACGAAAGCATTCTGTAAAAGAAAGATGGAAACCTGGTCATCCTAATTTTGATGTCGTCGCATTGCAAGTCATACAAAGAAAACGAAACGATACTATCGGAGCTTTACATGGACTTTCCATAGAAAGGCATTTCTTAATAACATTGAAAAAGAAGTATGCAGGTACTGTAATGCACTGTAAATTTCGAATACTTCTAACCTAAGCTATGTTACCATATCTGTCTTTTGTTGTTCTTGTAAATGTTAATCTTGTATTCCTTTTACTTGTTTAGATGGTCAAAAAATTGCCACTCGCTTGTCCAGGCAAATCACCAAGATCACGAACAAGATGAAATTAACAATTGAGAAACACAATGCTGCCATTGATTCTCTTCGTGATTTTATAAACAGTTTACCCGATCGTCTGACATTTGACAACGCGAAAGATCCTACATCAGACCTTTATGAGGGAATTAAGTCTGGTGAGGATGACATTCTAGGGGAAGCCTCGGTCCCAGTATACACAAAGAGGAAGGCTATTGATATGTACTTAATCCTAAAACGATGTGACGAGGAAGAGAAACTTTTAAACTTGGAAAGAGAAAGGCTTCTATTGTATTACACCAATCTTATCTCAAAAATTGATGAAGCACTTGCTGATCTTGGTGATTTGAGCAGCGATGAATTCATGCTTGGTTCAAAGCATGAACTGATAAGGTTTAAAACCAAATTGCGGAATGAGTTGTTCAGCTTGAAGAAAAGTTTTGAGCTTCCACTTGGAGAAACTTTTCTTCTCCAGGCTGAGATTGTCAACTTAACCAATGATGTCAACATTCCCAATGAATCTGAAAGCTCACCGTATGAGGAATCCGATACTGAAGATGAAGACATCGAAGAGCTCTCAGAAGTGGACAGTGACATTGAATAGACGACATAGCTACTATTCGTAAAGTAATAGCTACTTTTTATGTACTTATTATGTAATTTAGTTGTTCACGTATCTAGTATAACTGATATCACGCAAACATTTGTGGTTTTCTGACGTCATGTTAGTGCACAGTCATTTTCTCTTCTTCTGTACAACACCGGAAGTTTTGACCTGTCGTTGAATTGTGAGAGAACTATGTTCTTTATTATTTATCAATGTCTTACGAGTAAGAGTTTATATGCGACATATATCCCAACCAATTAGCTCTGTCTACCCAACCCAATTCATCTAAAATTGTGAGCATTCATATCATATATAAAATAGCCGAGACGTATCCAAAGCTTTGTCAGTTGATCAACGGGGTCTGGGGCGAGTTTTTGAAAACACCGAATTTCATGATTTGTCCGTCTAAATCATCCAATTTGTCTTTTAACGTTACAAGCCTTCCCATCTTTCATATTTTGCTCGAGATTAACTCCAAACAGATGACTAACTTTACCGATGCTCAAGCTAACGAAACGATGCTGACGAGAGAGTGCGGTCTGTTTCGGCACCCTTGATGGCACTGCCGCTGTAAGAGGTAAATGAGAAATGAATCCGAATACGTGTTTGGATTGAAATAATATAAAACTCAAAATTATTAATCTGCGTTACTGAGCACTGTTGCCATTTCACAGAACACGTAAGCCATTTTACAGATCGAACACTCTTGTCACTTTGCACGCCTACGGTAATCATTGCACGTATTACGTATCACGCATTCTTGCCGTGAGCTTCAAATACTCTCTACGCAATACAACCCCTCCCTACAATCACATTCTAAAGTAACATTCTGATGTTAAGAAAAGAACGTGATCGGTTTTTTTGGGGTTGTTTTTATTATAAGATGCTACATACTCTGCTACTAATAAGGTCCATGCTATAAGGGTCGTTGTACTAACTAAAAAAATCAATATTTTATTTGAAACATAATTTGTTAAAAAAAATTTAAAGCCACAACTGTCAACTATTTGCTGTAACAAAACATTGCTACTGGCTACTGCATACTTTTGTGTATCAATCACATATGCTCGATGATATTGGATTATGCGGTGCTGTTTATTTCACAAAAAGCACCGTAAAGTGAAAATGTCGACGCAGCGGAATTCGAATTTCGAAATGTTAAAAGTGGAATTCATTTATGATATATATGTTGCTTTATTTTGAGTGTTCGTTGGTACCGTAAATGAATTTATCAACGGCCAGGGCGTTTAATCAATTCTAGATGTTGTGGTGCAGCGAAATGAAAAGAGAGACGTGTATATTAGTTGTTTGTGTGAACAAATATAAAACAAAACTAAGACAAACTAAACTTCTTATAAGCCAAATTGTGAACCCACTATAATTAATATATCATAAATTTAATGTTGTGAAGGTGGTGGGTGTCTATCGAGGACGGGACTTTATTAGTAAGAAGCGTTGCAAGGAGGGGGCGGTGGCGTTTAATATGTATAAGGTGTTAATTTAATATAAGGCATTTATTAGATCTTTTTCGTCACATATGCCCATATATCATCTGAGAAATACAATTTGCCTTATGCAAACCAATGAGACCTTTGGGAAAACTTGAGAGCAGATCAGTGCAATTCCTTGCAGTCTTCACCAAAATCTTACAAAGGTGCACCTTCTGACGCTTCAAGAATGAAGGAAATACTGTCCTGGCAGTCCATGATTTTTTGTATTTCCTTTGAGCCATATTGTCGTGGCTTCTTTAGGCGAATGTTATCTGGTAGTCCTTCAACATGAAAACCACCAGAAAGATATGGAACGCGAGAACCAGTCACACCTTTTGCTTCACCTTTAAGAAAAATGCTCACTGACAAGAACTAACAAACATAATGACTTAACAACATGACTGTAAAAAGGGTAATTTTTACAAAATTACTCACAGGAAAAAAATTTGTATCTTCCATATACTTTTTATTAAAAAACAGAGAAGATTTCTTTATGCAGGTGTATCAAAAGGTAAAATTAAACTATCACTGTAAGGTAAACACTACCATTGAGGAATATACAGGCAACCTTTGTACATAACTGTTATTAACAACATTATACTGTTTTAAAAAGTATTTAATGAAAAGTTTATTCAAAAAAGATTTTTTTTAAACTTGCAGCCATAGAGTGAAATACTTTATCCAGGCCTGTGGTGGTTAAAATTACACCTGTATGATCACGTCACTCTCAATGGTGAAGACCTGCGTACAAGAATAAATAAAAAATTAACTTACTATACTTCTTGTTAAAGAGCATTCTTACATCCTCATGAGTCCATTTCTGTTTTTCTCGGTCTACATCTACCAAATATAGCATACAAATTTTTTTTTAGCTATACAAACTACAATTTTATCCCAAAAGGCTTGCTTCGTGATTTTTCACTCTTTTTAGAGAATTTAATGAAGAGAGAGAAATCACGAAGCAGGCTTGTCAATATAAAATTATAGTTTGTGAATTTTCGTTATAAAAGTGTGCTCAATATCTTTATAGATTGAGCAAAATATAAATTCATAAAAGTAAAATAAAGCATCAACTAAACTGTCATTCACCTGGTGATTGCCAAAAGGCGTGAAACACAGTGTAGCAAATGGTTTCATGATATTATATACGTACACCACTTTATCGGATACCAAAAATACCTTAATATTTACCGTTAGAAATATGCTATTTTGAGATGGGATGAACATTTTGCAACCATACGTAACATGACATTATAGTAAAGCTCTGAAACTTAGTCATATGTATGTACTTGACTACCATCCAGTAACTGGTATCCATGAAACTGGTGCTGACATATCAACAGAAGTTAAACTTTATGCCTATTACGAATTTGTGATCTTTGCAAATTTTTTACTCTTTACCAAACATTGCTTGAAACTTGCACAAAACTGCTGGTTCATTGTGAACAAATCTTTTTCCTCCTGATGAACCAAGGACATAAAGTTCTTTTTTTTTCCATTCACCAGTAAGCAGCTGGCCTGGCAACCAAGATACTCCAAGTAACTGAACTAAAAGGAAAGTAAATAACTGATAATGGTTACATTAGGCATAAGTACTGCAAAAAGCTATGTATAGTTTGCAACAATATGGACTTTAACCAATGGCATGAGATGACATTTGTTTTTATTATTATTGCTACTATTTTTTATTTACTATACATAGTTTCTGTTGTTGTTGGTATTGCTATGATAATTATTATTTCTACAAATGTAATGCTATACCATCAATGCTATTGTAATGATCACCATTACTGATGGAGAATTAAACAGAATCTTTTGTTGTCCAAACACTATTCTACATATCCCAAATTATATGACATATATGTCTGCATTACATCTGTGATTAAGACAGTGAAGTACAAATATTGTCATAACATATCAGCAACAACAGCAACAACAATCATCTCTTCAGCGATTAATCTTCTTGGAACCAAAAGAATTTTACAATCACTTTTCACAGCATTTAGTAACTGTATAAATTTTCAATTTCAAACAAACTTTAAACTTCATACTACCATTAAATATAGTTTATTATTATTAAATCATTTCTTCATTAATTCTTTCATAGCCTTATGAAACAGTTCAACTGATACATTCCACACAACCAGAATACAAAAAAGATTTTCATGCCAGATGACGTTCAAGTCAAATTTCATGCCAAAAGAAAAACAAGTTTGCAATAAGAAATAACTTTCTATCTGGTAATCACTGCAACCATGTTTGCACAAAAAATACATGCTCAAAACAAAGAGTTTTACTCAACATAACACTATTAGAAATGCATCCAATGTTAAGGCAATATAAACTTCCTTTATCAGAATACCATGAATTATGTACATTTCCAGAGACTAAAGTCTCCCCAATCAATAGCCTGTTCTAATTTATTCTAATTACTTAATGCTACCTCTGCTATTCATTGCAAAATTTATTTATTAAAACAACTGTTACCTCCTCAGCTAAAATTTTCATATGCTGATCAACCAATCTTGTTCTTTGAGCATCATCTAATGTCACAGGGTTGTTTTTCATGTCATTAGCTTTCTGTGTGTATTTATTTTGCTCGGATTCTCATAAACCAATCCATTTGACAGAAGCCAATTTATTTTTTTCACTCAGGTGAGACAACCCCTTTACTTCATCTGCAATAATGGATAAATTTGTCAAGGCTTTCATCATAGCGAATTCTTGATGGTTAACATTCCTTACACCCTTATTGATTATACTAAAGTGATTTAATATTTCATTCACCTGATTTAAAAAATTCTGAGCAAAATAGATTATATCCGCTTGACCCCCGTAATCTGGGTGGTGGTTTGGGGACTTTTGGTGGATTACATGAGGGTAGAGGTGACTCCGAATTATTAGATTGACATTTTCTTTTGACAGAAGCAACTTTGTTGCCAATCCATTTCTGAAAAAAAGCATAATGTCAGTTGTGAAGAAGCTTTTGAATAATTTCAAAACATGCAGTATCAAACAAATTTTGTGAAATTTTTACTGACATTATAACATCAAGTGTTACAATAAAGCTGCACCAGTTACTGTGTTTCACAGCCTATAACTCTGTACATAAAGAATGTCCATTGTATATCACAATACATTATAAGAATGTACTTTTTGAAAAAGGAAAGTTTAAAGTAGAACTTCATACAAATTACTGTGGAGTAGAAATACAAATTTAGGGATGTTATTGAGATACGTATGGCTTTGATTTGATGGCGCTGGTTTCGTAGTTGGTTTACTGCATACAGAAAAAAATTTAAAAGACGGTGAACGACTAAAGAAGAGATCGTTCTCACCTTGACCTTGTCCACAGACAACGACGTTTCTTGGACGTTTATTGTATTTAAATAATCCTTGGTATAGATTATTAGTGTATGTTTGGAAACAAAAATGGCGACGATCACAGATATTATTATCCTTACACTAACAGTGTCCAGAGATATTGAGGTCAGGAGAGACAAACATAGCCTTCAGATAGCACAGAAAGCAATCTAAATTGGCTATCTTCCGCATTCTAAAATTTAGAACTCTGGGTAATACCCATTTAGAATGAGCGAAACGGGTGGTAAAACTGTAGGTATATATTTTAGTCAATATGAAGATGTAAAAGAATAGAAAATGTTTGCCTAGACTGCAGTTTGGCAACACTTATATGCGCAGCGTGGGCTTGTTTTTGCTTAGTATCTTAATGTTTGGGTTTGGGTCAGTGTCCAAGGTGTCTGCTAAACTGCAGTAGTTCCAAATGTTTTTATATGGGGATGGAAACTTGGCATTAGTGTTGATGTTTTACCTTCCACAAACTAAAAATTTGGATATATGAGTCACCATTAGGCTTGTAAAAAAATTATTGAAAGACTTATATTTTTTCATGCAAGATAAATTCATCGGAAAAGCCACTAAAGCAAAAGAAGTCATTACAATAAATGCAGAACTTTATTACTTAGTAGCAAATACAACAAAAATCGAAGCATTCAGAATAAGAAAACTTTTTACTTGTAAACGCAACCCTGCAAACAATGCTAGAAATGGATTTTCTAATGTTTGAAGGCAGTTTCATCACTGTATTCGTATTTATACTGTGTACAAATATTTCATTGGATGTTGTTAAAGGGTAGATCAAATTGTCTATTACCGCATACATTCTATTGGCATACGTTTGGATTTATTGTATTTACCTTGCTCCCACAAATTCATCACAAGCAGGCATACGTTTCCATCTATGTACTGTCTCGTGCGGTCCAAAATCTAAAGTCAAATTTTCAAAATATCCACTAATTTCTCATTTGATTCACTTGGACAATGCATTCTCAAAACCGATGCATATTCTATCGCAGGTAAAAATTTACGAGTGCCTGATTCAACCTGTGCGTTTAACTATTTATTATGAGTTTTTGTGAATGGAAAATTTGTATGTTCATCCTTCTGCAACACATCAAACCGTTCAAATTCAAATCATCAAACGTTGAATGTTGATCTTTGATGTTGATCAGCAGTCAGCAGCAGCGAACTATTCAGCAGTATAGGACAATGGTATCACGGTATGGTATGTATGATCATTGATCAATGGGTATGATGGATAAGAAATATTAACTATTCATACGTTTTCCCATACAGTGAAGAAGTACCGAGAGGTACCGGTATTGGGAAGTCAACACCCGATTTATATTAAGTTTAGAGTATGCCTGTTGCTTTAGACTCGGAATATACGTTTACAAAGAAAGTTTACAAAAACAATCACATCAAACATTTTAAAAACCAAGCAAGCATAACCAATCAACTCCTAAAAAACACCATATTTTGCAAAATTTGTTTTTTCTCTATTGTTATACTTCAATGTTTATTTGGTCCTAGTCTTTCTCTAAGTAGACCGAGGCATTAATGTTGTTTTGATGGATGGAAAAGGTGGAAACATGTCATGAATTTGACCGCGCGAAATTTGAGAATTTGAGCGAGCAGTGTTTTTGTTTGCTCTTTCACTTCAAATTTTGAATATCAGAGCGTAAGTTTTAGCCTACTTTAACGATAAACAGATTTAAAGTGCTTTAATGAAGTAGAATGGCGCCAAAAAGAAATCGAGAAGTCCTAAAGAAGGTCTGCAGAACCAAACGATGCAAACCCGTCTTGCCCGACGTACCTTTAAATACATCCATGTCAATTGAAGAGCAAGAAAATAAAATGAACGATTATATCGAAGATTTTCTACTCCAAGGTAAATTTGCGTACAAGATTGTGTATTATCATGTACTGTTTTTGTAATAATCAAATATGAAAATATTAATACTAAAATTTGAATATATAAATTGACAGATATTGATTTAATACATTGCGTGCCCCCGGAAATAATTATTTTTGAAACGGTATTTTTAAGTACACTCTAAACAAAGCTGTATATCATCAAAATTACGCTTAGTTTGACAGAAAAATTTTGTTTTTAAGTCTATACCTAAGAGAAACGAATCAGACCTGCGAACCTTTAAAGACAACGACTGAGGATCTTAATTTTTTCCCTTCAAAAAACTTGAGACTTTAGAAAAAAACACATATGACAAGACTGTAAATATCTAAAATAAATGTAGAGGAAATAGACCTTATTCTTTAAGGTTATGTTAGAAAATATTTACAAGTAAAATTAAGGCGAAAATATTCCAATTTCCTAAACTTTGTTATGAAAGTTGACTTTTTTAAAAAATTTCGTAGAAAGCATCACCTGTGTAAGAAGCACTTAATCTGTGTGACATTTCATAAATTAATATGGTTTACTACAACTGTTTAACATTTTGTGTACAAGTCATATATGAAAATTGTGTGTCACATGGGAAAACCAGCTGGTCTGCCAAGTGTTGTCACAGATTAATCACCCATCATGAACTTAAAGTGTGTATGTTTATAACCATATGTACTTTCTACAGTGAAGAGCAAGCGTGAGAAAATGATAAAATGCATCCAAAAAGCTAAAGCACTGATCGGGAATGCTTATAAGAGTGCAACCATTGAAATTGTTAAGGTATTTAAAATATATTGGAATAACTGTTCTTGTAAATGACTTGTTTATTATAAATGGCTTCCCACCATATAAACTCCTCTGACATGCATCAAGAGGCTAATGCTAATTAAAGTAACTAGTTACTTGTTATTTCATAGAGTTACTGCATATGTACATGAAATTGAATACAACTTTTACCATTTTAGGATGAAAACACTGTATATCATTTTTTTTACAAAAAATAATGTGATGTTTGGTTTTTTCGACTAGTTTTTCATAACGTATACATAACGAGCATTGATATCTACCCTCCAATATCACTAGCATATCAAAGCAAGGTTTTTTCATGCTATGCAACTTTTTGAGCATTGTCATAATTCATTTTGTTAGAAGTCAAATACTCTATTGTTTAACTTTTGACAGGGAGTGTTTGAACAAAGTAAAAATTACATATATGCAACAGGATCAAATTTGCAGGTTGACCATGCCACTTGTCAACTAGCCATGTCATACCATATGTATCCCTTTATGGCATCAATATACATATCATTCCAGGTAAAGCCTTGTTGTTTTTTTGTTTTCAGAGTGTACGCAAAATGACATTTGAAGAATTTCTAAGTGAGTACAGTTTTTACAAGCTGAATTACATAATGTTTGCAAATCTTACTCTTTTTTGAGAAATTCAGTTACACCATGGATGTTTCTATAAACTTGAAATTTTTTCTACAACCCCTTGGGGTACATATGTCACTATCTTCAAAATAGTTAACTGAAAAGTAATTTAAAAAAGAGTGAAACATGTAACGTACATGCAAAAATGAGTTTATTAGTGACAACAACCTCATTATTCAATGAAACTTGTGGTTCTGGTGGATTTTTGGGTAGGATGTACCTTTGAGGCGATTACAAATTATGGAATTTTGTGATAACAGGCTGAAAAATACAAAGTATTGTAACCCTTCAAAGAATAAGTGTGAAACTCAACTAATATCTTCAATGTTCAACAGTAAGAGCCCCATTGCAAGGCATTGGCAGCCTTTCCACCATCTTCATGAAATCTGCATCCTACCTGTCAGATGGACATAGATACACCTCTGCTGGTATCAGTTTTGCATTTAATGATAGCACTTTGTTCGTTTCATAGATAACGGAGGAAATGTTGATTTAGCCATTAGTGCTCAGGTATACAATACTTTGCCTTTAAGTCTTTGATACATTTAAACGAGCTCATAGATCTGTTCTTTGACATATTGAGAATTTGTGTCTGAAAATGAAATTGTAAAACACTCTGCGGTCTCCGATATCTGTTACTTTGAACAAAGACTACGATTTATTGACCTATAGTGACTCTCGAATTTAGTAGTATTTATGAAATTTCGGAGACGAGTCTTCGATACAAATCTCTAAAGCACGACGCACTTTAATTTTGCCATAATTCCTTTACCGCCTTTCTGTGAATTTGTTTGCTCCTAGGTGACAGCGTCCATAACAGAATTAGCTTCCACATCAGCATCGGTAACTGGCAACATGCCTGTTGAGCAAAGGTTCGGATAAACCCTTCTGATTTGTGTTTGTCATGTGACTTTTTACTTCCTTATCTTTATGTACGTTAATGACAAAAAAAACGAGAAACCACGAGCCACCGACACGACATGAATTCATTTAAAGGATTTGACGCACCCTCTCCCGTACAAAAATTTCGTCAATTGACCCCCCATTGTTTCCCAAATATAGCTAAGAAGTGTTTATTCATTGCTAAAACGTGTTTGTTTTTTGTAATTTTGAAAACTTAGAGTTTTACTTTTTAACTTATAGAATGCCATTGTCAAACCTCTCTAGCGAAATCAATAGCTCAGGTAGGATAACTATCAGTTGTGGTTGCCACAATTTTGGAGCCTGGTCACCACTTACCCAATAACTCGAACATGTCACTCCCCAGTGTCCCAGTGACTAAAATTTCTTCTTCTTTTGTAAGTATCCCAATAAATGTATCTGGGAACGTTTGGGTGAAATAGAAAGTTTCTGTTTGGTTTATAGACTCCCATATATCAGATTCTGACTTGAATGGTATTTACACTTTTGTGAATATCCTTTACTATAACTGCGAATATATTGTTAAAACAGAATTTTTTTTTCTTGGATTATACAATCAAAGATATTACACACTGGCTTAGATGGTACTTACACTTGGGTAAATACACCCTGTATTTGGCAATTTACGTTTAAAATATTGGACTACCAGTTATTAGTACCTAATGACTTGGATGACGTTTACTTTCTGCTCATACTTTTTTTGAAAGTCTGTGACCGTTAATATGCGAACGTTCATTGGCCATTGAAATTCTACGTATTTTGCGATTTTCTAGACATGGTTTTAGTCATTATTCGTTTATTGGTGAATAGCGATAAACAGAATTTTTGAAAAAGTTCATTCCATTGAACGGCACTATACAAGCTAACTCAATCCTTTATTTTCTTTATTTTGTTAGGATTCGTTTTGGATCAGGTTAGCATTCATTTTATTATATTACCAGCTATTTTCCAGTGATTTTCGTTAAGGTTGATCTACACCCTATGGTATAAAATGCCATTGCCTAAAATACATGCCATGGTATAAAATTGTTTTCAAAATTGGTAAAAAAAACTCTAAGTGAACTACAGTTGAAATTTAAGTTGCATCCTAAAAGGTAAGTCTTTTAGTAGTTTCATAATAATTTCAAGAATACCCTTCAGGACAGTTTCATCATGTTCGTTAAAATACTCTGACAGCTTCATTATGATCCTAAGAATAGTCGAAAGTTTCATAATAATCTTGAGAATACCCTGAAAGTTTCACAACAGCGCACAATAAACATTTCTTCGCACAATAAACATCAAATAAACACTTAATCGTTTGTCACTTCCCGCTCGTGTTTTTATGATGTAATCTTTATTCTTTAACGATGAAATTTTCTTATCTAGTCGACTATGGAGAATGGCTTTTCGAGTAATGTTCAAACTGTGGGAAAATCAAACCGAAGCCGCAAGGTACAACTGAGGCTATGTTGCTGTGAAGTTGCATGTTTGTAGATGTAGATCGTCCAGGTTAATATTGCCCTGAAAAGGACTGTTGTTGTTGACTGACTTTTTGTCAACCTTAGCGGTAGTCATCTTCAGAGTCAAATGAGGAGTAAACGTCAGGTTAGCCGTATTTGTTATCTGGTTCTTACGTCATTGTATTGTGTGTATGAAATGTGCGGGTGTCAATTGTGTATTGTCTCTGTGGATTAGTGTGAAGTGGATTAAGGTGACTAGAAACATTACACTTCACACTAATCCACAATGACAATACACAATTGACACCCACACATTTCCTGTACACACAATACAATGACGTAAGAACGAGATAACGAATACGGCTAACCTGGCGTTTACTCCTCATTTGACTCTGAAGATGACTATCGCTAAGGTTGTCGAAACGTCAGTCAACAACAACAAAAACAGTCCTTCTCAGGACTATACCAACCTGGACGATCTACATTTACAAACATGTAACGATACTCCCGTGTTCAAACCATTTACTTTTATTGGTGAAGTTGATAGGGAGCATTAAGTGCTTCGCAACTACGTAGGCACTTCTGTTGATCAATTTACTCGTGTTTTATAGTAAGTGTTTTTACAAACAGTGGACTTAAGTTTATTTTAGTAAAAAAGTCATTATGGAATTTATGTTTCTACCGCAGCGAAACACAGCAATAACATCTCCTCGTCGTACAAGGTCTAGGTAAGCTAATTGGTACTTTTTGTAAAGTATATCCTTATAGCTATGCACGTACGCCTGGTGGAAAAATTTGATAAATTTCTCATTTAATTTTAATACCAATTTAATACTTTATTTATCTATAGTCGGCGCTTGCAGGGAAAGACGTCAGCGACTCCAGCCTTGAATTTTATCACTCCAATCCCGAAGTCGACCACCCTCACTGCTTTAACTAAAGACATATTAATTACCCCCAAGTTTGATCCAAGGTTTGTACGGTCTGGGGATATGGATAGCCAAAAACACCTATTGTTTGGGAGAATTTTGGGAACATCAAAACCTATGAGATCAATTGTCTTTATAAAATAGAAACAACCCACTGCGTTCATCGATTGTTCTGCAGAATGAGTTCGCATTATCCTGTGCAAACCGATCTTAGCTCAATCAATTAAAAAGAATTTGCAAGTCAATCATGAATACTTGTTAGAGGAAAAATGAAACAATTGTTTTAAATTCATCTTTTTCATATTATTATTATTTTATTAAAGAAATAAAAATGCTTTTCGTGTTTATACTGGCTTATGCAAATCTCAGAGCTGATGTTGGTAAACGTCAGTAAACATCTTTTATTTCTTTGTAAGCATCTTTAATTTCTGAAAAGTTTACTATCCAAATGCGTTCTCAATTCTATAGCAATTACTTGAAATATCAGTAAAACTTTTTTTATTATACTCAATGCCACTTCTCAAAAAAACCTTCTTAAAAAACTCTTTTCTTATAAATTGTTGCTATAGGTTACCTATACCTGCTACAAGAATGAGAGCTCCGAAACCTGGAGAGAGGTTTGTCATTTATGTTATGTAAAGTCATCCAAAACTCTCATTACTACACTCACCCTCACCATTACCTTTATGAGACATTGACCCTTACCATCATTTTTCTCCCACATTTACTCTAACCATCCTTACCTTTACCTCACATTCACCCCCACCATATCCTTTATCCTGATCTCTCATTTTCACTATCTGCTCCTACTTAGAGTAATATCCATGACTGGATCACCCCTGACCAATTATGTTGGGCCTTCGAACCACAATGCTCCGAAGGTCATCATACCATTAACAGGAGGAAAGGTTTGTTGGTTCATTTCGAAGAGTAAAATATGCAAAAGGATAAGTTGTGTTTCATCAAGCGTTTGATAATATTGGTATTTTAGACTGCAGGCTCATCTGAGAATTTAGGACATTATGCCAACTTCATACAATTTATGGTCCGATATCTGACACTTGTACCATTTGTAACTTCTGGTAGTCATTTTTGAAATTTCTAAGCATTTTGAATTTTTTTGGAAAAATTGTCAATTATTGTTGAAATATATAACATAGTTTATTGATGATGTGACTTAGCTGAGTGTAAATTGTCGAAAAAACGAAATCTCATAGCTTTTTAAACATGAAGTTCAAAATGAAACCAGTCCTTCAAACGGACAAGCACAAAGCTAATTTGCCTGTTTTTGTTGACTGTAGTTTACCTTCCTTACATCGTTTTTTTGTTCATTGTTTTACATGTTGTTCTAGACATTGCAACTAAGTGTAGATGAGAATTCATCGCTTAGTGCTCAAGAGATTGATGTGGCAAGCGACAACGTAGCGCAAAATAATATACGATTACTCCAGGTACTCTTGAGACGTGTGTCTGTCGAATTAGTTAAGAGAAACACCGAAAAATAATTTTCAATACTTTTTGTCTATGAATTTAAGGAAAAGCTCTCAAAGATGTTGAAGATGCCAAAGTAATGCAATTGAAGTGATATCAAGGAATTTTGCTAAGTACCTGCGTCTATAGATGATTTTTTTATGTATGAATCTCTCCCTCCCGCGCCAGAATCGACGCGAAATTATTGAGATTTTGCTTTCTTAAACTGAGGATGAATGGAACTTCTGTTTCTATACATCTCACTCTAAATTTAGCGATTTCAAGTGACCGATAGCTGTTATTCATCCTAGTAGGGAGAGAGAGAAATTTATTTAATGACCAATAGCCATCAATCCTTAAATTTAGGGAGATAGTTCTATCCATGCTCAATGAAATAAAATTGTCGGCTTGTAATGGTTTTGGAAAGACTACTTCCGATTTTGTCACTTTACATTAATCATTATGCGCGATGTTTATAACGACGTAAGTATTGACATCCAAAAAGGCCTACTTTTCAAGTAGCAAACGCGCTGAAAAATACGTGTATTTGTTTGTCATCATCCGAAAGTACGTTTTCTGAGGATTTCAAATGTATTTTTACTTTTGTGGCCCAAATTCGTGGAGCGAATCTACATGCGAACAAAGTCTACTGTGAGGGTACCACCGGATTCAAGACAGTACACTTTTTATATAGTAAACACGTTGCAATTTACTTGTGTTTGATATCGTCTTGAAGAGCGTGCTGTTGGCATTTTTAATATGTCTTGTCTAAGATTTCTGTCCTGTCTAAGACTACTTTGCTGAGGACTCAAAAAAGACCATATTATCCAGGGGGGAATGCATAGCCCTTTAGGTGTCCCCAGTTAATGTCAAAGCCTCCGAATATAGAGTTTAGGGGTCTGGTCTCCACTTGATGTACCTTTTTGGTTGGTGCGCGAAGCCAAACGATGTATTAGGAGACCAGAAATGCCAAACGGCGACTGGGTCGAGCATCAAGTCACTGTTGTCGCGAAATTATCTAGAATCTCTGTCCGCTACAATATTGGACTGCCAGGCCACACGATATACTGTCACAAAGAGGGCGTTCTAAATGCACTAATTTGACAGTTTAAAAAATGCACTGAGCAGTCCGTGGGAATGGGTACCCACTTTATGATTGATATAAGTAATTGCGGTTGAGTTGTCCATGTGCAGAGCAACAATTTTCGATTGTTGTTTTTCAATAGAGATTGGATTTCCAACATTGCCCCTTTCAATTCTAGAACTTTTATTTATTTTTGCTCCTCTGCCGACCATCTGCCATTGGTCAGTAGATACCCTGCAGCTATACTGACCCTTTTTGACAGAGCTCATACCCGTGCCAATTAGTCTCCAGACCTAGGAAGTAAACCGGGCGCGCACATGTCAACCGGAAACAGAATAGGCTAAGATTATGAATGGGAAATGAAACAGATGATAATTGGAAACATGCAATTGTTTCATTCATCATGATTGAAGTATCAGTATATCCGTTTCCTTTTTCATGTTAGGGTAAGACAGCAGATAACATAGCAATTGCATTTCATAGCTTGCATTTTATGGAAAGGTTTAGCGTTTACAATTTGAAAAGACTGACTTAGAAAAAAATAAAGTTAATCAGCGTCAAAGCATGTTGCAAGATAAATTATTAAACTGCTATGCCGAAGAAATTGCTACAATGATACGCGGAAAAGTTTAAAAGAATTCTAATGGCTGTTTAATCGATCATCCCTCCCAACGTCAACATGATTGTTAATCATGGAGCATGGCGAGTACAAGATGTTGTATTTTGATGATGCCGTGTAAAACGTGTCCGAAGAGATAGTGATCAAAGATTTTATGAAAAGCATTGCCTTTGCAAAAAGGACGCTTCTATGGATTGTTTAAAACGCTTCAGAAAATATGTATTGTGTGAATGTTAACAATGAAACATTTTAATGAAACATATTGGGTTGGAATAAAACGCGGAAACGGATGGCACGGATGCGGATGAGGGGATAATACAAGAATGAGGGATAATACACGGATGAGAGGATAAAACACGAATTGAAGGGGTAAAAGACGGATCTCCTTAAAATTTTATTTCTTTTTCAAGGGGCGGTGTTTAGCAAATTAATATGAAAACATTTTGCCTTAACATTGTGTGCTTTTGTTTAAATTGTTCTAAGTGACAAATTGTAGGAAAGTAAAACTTAAATATTCTTAAAACATCACGCAAAAAGTGTCTATATAATGTCGCAAGTTGCAGGTTAAATGTGGAGGGTAAAGTGAAGTAGATTCGTGCTTTTAAAAGTAGATGTTCGTAGAAAAAAGTTTACTTATGCTGAATTCTCGGGGATTCGTTTATTTCTGTATATGCACACTTGAATGTGCCCTAGGAATCAACTGTTGATACTAAAATATATATTTATAGAACCTGTGTTAAGCCGTCATATGGCAAAACTCGAAAATTTCATAGTAGAAATACCATAAATTTTACTTTATTAATCGGTCACCTCTATCAAGCGGACGCTGTCACCTTCTCCAATGTCCCAAACTTAATTTTTCATTGTTGCGAAACTGTATTAAACGGTCATGTAATATAAAAACATCACATAATAAAATATATAATGAAATATTTATTCTGGAACATGTCAAATATTTTGTATACACGTCTTTATATTTTATATATCTTCCGCAATCACTCGAAAGTGTCGAAAAAATTTTCTGTTTGTGTGTGGACATAGCAATTTGAATTTTTCTTACGTCGCTTAAGCCGTCGGCAAGAAAACGTATCTTCAAGAAAGGGATAAACGCGCGGTATTGATAAGTTATAACCACCTTCTCTGTTGACGCGCTTGCCATTGATTAATTTTCAGCAGTTTGAGCCGTGTTATTTTTATGTATTCTATTTTCTATTTTCTAGTTTAAACTAAGAAAAAAATTGCTTTATATAGTGTTGTTTTGGGTTATTTGGCATGTATGTTGAGGAACAATACTAATTGGTTCAACTTTAGTTTTATTAAATAATTACACGTAGCCTGTCTGGTAATTTACCTAAACTCACTAAAGACCTGTATTATTCGGTCAACCTGTATTAAGCGGTCACACGGAAAATCCCCAAAGGTGACCGCTTAACAGGTTCTACGGTATAGTTTTATTCTCATATACCCTAACCCTTTAGTTTTATACTCATCAACCTATAATTTATACTTACCAACCATTACAGTTATCAGGCGAACTCAATTAACTATTCAATAAATATTCGGACACAACCAGAGATGTTGTTAACTATACACTAACATGATATAATTAGATTGAAAAGCAATGCCAAAGCATTTAAAAATGAAATACTTACATTTCCAACAATAAGAAATTGTAAGTTATACTATATGATGTACACAGTTAGTCAATTCCTACAATAATAGGCAGCAACTGCAAGTTGTTGAATCAGCGCTCACTGTCAAAATTAAGATATTTGATCAAGTTATAGATATTGTTATATTATATTTGTGGAAATAAAACATATACCGTAAAATGTACATCAGTTGTGTCCAAAGAAATCTTGAATTTTTGATATTTGTTATGTCTGAATATATGTAAGTAGTTATGGTGCAGGTATGGTGCCGGAAGTAAACGTAGCTCTTAATCGTGTCAATTAGTTTCCAGTCCTAGGAAGTAAACAGGAACTATTTTAGTTTCGGAGGAAAAGAAGTAGAGATTTCGAAAACAACCGAAAGTCCTTATGCTTCTGATTTGCACGGATCCGTCATGATTTATGTATATTGTAACATTGTACAACTGCAAGTTGTTGGAGACGTCAATGTAAAATTACTAAAGGCAGTTGCTATTCAAGGAAAATATGGAGACATTGTTTCAAGATCATTCACTAATATTCAATATATACCCGTGCAAACAAAATCTTTTGAGGACATCGAGTTTCTCTTAAGGGACGAGTTAGGAAATCCCATCTCATTTGAACGAGGGAAGTCGATAGTGACACTTCATTTCAGAAAAGAAGCCTTACCTCATTTTACATAAGAAAAAAAATATGAGTAGAACAAACCGTTATGTTCAATATTATCTCAATCAGCAAAAAGGATACGGATCGCAACCTGTCTTTAGGGGAGCATCCTGGCAAAAAAGTTATAGGCAGATGGGTTATGGTCTTGGTGGTTTATTTCGTAGATTGGCTAGAGCTGCAATACCTTTGGCAAAAACCGGCGCAAAAGCTCTAGGTAAAATTGCCCTCGATACAGGTGCAAAAGTTTTTCGTTGGATTCTTTATGTTTCTGTTCTTCATAAGAAGTTTTGCAGTAACAAATTCTTATGATAAGTCATCTGCTCTAGATTCCAATGCTGTTATTAAGCCACTGTACGAATCAGGTAAACTACAAAGGAGTGTCGCCACTTGATCTTTCTCAGAAACAGACTCACCCAATGCTTCCAACTGACTTGCAATATCCTTCATCTTGTTGAGATGTTCGGTCATGGAATCATTAAGACCCATACTTGTAGTGAAATATTTCTTTCGCAAGAATAACTTATTGGCCAAAGATTTGACTTCATAATGACTTTCTAATTTCGCCCAAGCATCTTTTGCAGTACGCGCTGATCGAACGAGAGATAGCTGTTCATCGCCAAGAGACAAACATATTGTCGCAAATGCCTTCCTTTCCGCCTTTGATATTGTCGACGTTGAGTATCAGTAGTTTCTTCACCATTAGGTTCTACCTCATCGCCAATAACTATTTGCCAGAGATCCTTCTCTTCAAGTATCATCTGCATCTTAAACTGCCAAAGGTGAAAGTTTTGGCCATTGAAAATTTCGATCTGTGTAAATGCTACGTCATTTCCCGAAGTCGCAATATTCAATATTTCGCACTTATGTAAGTTACATTCTCATGAAATCGCGATATCTCATATAGTTTCCGTATTTGCCGTCATCAACAGAAACTCAAACGCTCCTGGGCCCATAACCTGTTAAATTATTCGAGATTCGGCATTAACGTTCGGATAATATGTGAAATATTATGATTTTTATTGTGGAACAAAATAGCAACTTACGTTTAAGCAACAACGATATTACAATAACAAGTTCTGAATGCCACTTCATCTGACATGTGTCGTCTCTACTTAATTATGTTTTTCGCGTGATGTTTATATCTCAACAATTATTCCTTAAACTTTCTGATATTTTCGTTACTTCATTCGATAACTTCCATTCTTCCTTTGTTTGCTTTTTGATTGCGCTGCGTAATAATCGTTTGCGTATCGCAAAGCTATCTTGGTTGTTGACATTTGGTAGTGGAAAGCAGAGAAACTTTGGATAAACGCCGAGTGAAAGACAATCTTTGAGAAACATAACATCTAGTTCTGCTTTCCTTTGTTTGGTTTGAAGCTTTTCAAACTTTCGCAATTCTGATAAGGAAACCTTTCCTTCGTATTTTTGTGCAACGACTGTTAAGGAAGCTTCTAAAGAAAGACTCGATTAACTACAAAGTTTATAATGATATCTTCCCCACAGGTTCTAAACCCTCACGCTTCCATGACTTACCGAAACTTCACAAGAAACGAGAACCAGAACAATCGCCTCCACTACGACCGATAGTTTTTATAATTAACTCGTACAATTATAATTTAGCTAAGTATCTTAGTTCTCTACTAACACCACTCATACCAGATGACCACTCCACTAAAGATTCTTTCGCTTTCCTCGACGACTTCTCATCTTTCAACTCATCAACTTGTCACAAATTCCTCATCTCCTACGACGTTGAAAGCCTATTTACACTAACAAACCACTTACTGAAACCATCAACCTAGCAAATGACCTAATATTCACTCACAACCCTAGGTTCAGTATAAACAGGTCAGACCTCGCACGACTGTTTTTAATAGGATCTGTTGCAGCATAATCATATCTAACGTAGATACCGTTAGCTGTATTTATGTAAATAAACCGGGGAATCCAAGGCCACTCTTAGGGGATTACCTGGGTAATTTAACAAACGAAATCACTCAAGAACATGGGGTATGTAGTTACATTACAAGATTTGCATGAGAAAAACATTGTAAGATAAGAGATTTTACTTTGAATTTTAAACATAGCCAAATTCTTAATTTTGATTATGTACGAAATGATATGTAACTATGCACGTTCAGATGTCGAAAATAAGAAAAATAAAATAGATGTTGTAGATAACAGTATAATAGCACAAGAAAAACGGACCCGTCGGCTTGTCAACAAGAAAGAAGTAAAGCAGTATCAGATCGTCTACGACAAAAGAATAATTGTCAACTCTGGTGAAAACACAATACCATAGGGATATTATTGGTCACCAGCTTCTAACTCTGCTAGTCCGTCTGTAAATCACATTATAAGTTTTCCTGATTTAATACTTTATACAATGCTACAGCCCAGTGCACTAGGTTGTAAGTAAAACATAGCTGTGTTGATGACAAAGCTAACGATGAGACATGTAGTGATGAAGAAATGGAAGACGTTTTGGTGTATAATGATGTTGTTAAGGATGGCAATGTCGGTGACATGATTTTTGAGAATGAAGAAAACGCAACCGATGTTAGTTTATTGGAAACTGACGACGAGGAAGATGTGGATTTTGAATCAGAGAACGAATATGATAAAACATTTATACACGACATTGAAATGTCTGAAGATGAAAACGACGTTTCTTTTAATCGAAGGTTTAACAGTAATTAATAATTTAATGCTTCTTGACATCGTATTAATATTTTCAAAGATACATTTCTATCTTGAAGGTCGTGGACCATTACTTCTTTTCCATTTGCACGATGAACAAACTATGTTGGATGTTGCATTGTTTGCTTTGTTTGCTTTTTGATTGCGCTGCGTAATAATCGTTTGCGTATCGCAAAGCTATCTTGGTTGTTGACATTTGGTAGTGGAAAGCAGAGAAACTTTGGATAAACGCCGAGTGAAAGACAATCTTTGAGAAACATAACATCTAGTTCTGCTTTCCTTTGTTTGGTTTGAAGCTTTTCAAACTTTCGCAATTCTGATAAGGAAACCTTTCCTTCGTATTTTTGTGCAACGACTGTTAAGGAAGCTTCTAAAGAAAGACTCGATTAACTACAAAGTTTATAATGATATCTTCCCCACAGGTTCTAAACCCTCACGCTTCCATGACTTACCGAAACTTCACAAGAAACGAGAACCAGAACAATCGCCTCCACTACGACCGATAGTTTTTATAATTAACTCGTACAATTATAATTTAGCTAAGTATCTTAGTTCTCTACTAACACCACTCATACCAGATGACCACTCCACTAAAGATTCTTTCGCTTTCCTCGACGACTTCTCATCTTTCAACTCATAAACTTGTCACAAATTTCTCATCTCCTACGACGTTGAAAGCCTATTTACACTAACACACCACTTACTGAAACCATCAACCTAGCAATTGACCTAATATTCACTCACAACCCTAGGTTCAGTATAAACAGGTCAGACCTCGCACGACTGTTTTTAATAGGATCAGTTGCAGCATAATCATATCTAACATAGATACCGTTAGCTGTATTTATGTAAATAAACCGGGGAATCCAAGGCCACTCTTAGGGGATTACCTGGGTAATTTAACAAACGAAATCACTCAAGAACATGGGGTATGTAGTTACATTACAAGATTTGCATGGGAAAAACATTGTAAGATAAGGGATTTTACTTTGAATTTTAAACATAGCCAAATTCTTAATTTTGATTATGTACGAAATGATATGTAACTATGCACGTTCAGATGTCGAAAATAAGAAAAATAAAATAGATGTTGTAAATAACAGTAAAATAGCACAAGAAAAACGGACCCGTCGGCTTGTCAACAAGAAAGAAGTAAAGCAGTATCAGATCGTCTACGACAAAGAATAATTGTCAACTCTGGTGAAAACACAATACCATAGGGATATTATTGGTCACCAGCTTCTAACTCTGCTAGTCCGTCTGTAAATCACATTATAAGTTTTCCTGATTTAATACTTTATACAATGCTATAGCCCACTGCACTAGGTTGTAAAGTAAATCATAGCTGTGTTGATGACAAAGCTAACGATGAGACATGTAGTGATGAAGAAATGGAAGACGTTTTGGTGTATAATGATGTTGTTAAGGATGGCAATGTCGGTGACATGATTTTTGAGAATGAAGAAAACGCAACCGATGTTAGTTTATTGGAAACTGACGACGAGGAAGATGTGGATTTTGAATCAGAGAACGAATATGATAAAACATTTATACACGACATTGAAATGTCTGAAGATGAAAACGACGTTTCTTTTAATCGAAGGTTTAACAGTAATTAATAATTTAATGCTTCTTGACATCGTATTAATATTTTCAAAGATACATTTCTATCTTGAAGGTCGTGGACCATTACTTCTTTCCATTTGCACGATGAACAAACTATGTTGGATGTTGCATTGTTTGCTTTGTTTGCTTTTTGATTGCGCTGCGTAATAATCGTTTGCGTATCGCAAAGCTATCTTGGTTGTTGACATTTGGTAGTGGAAAGCAGAGAAACTTTGGATAAACGCCGAGTGAAAGACAATCTTTGAGAAACATAACATCTAGTTCTGCTTTCCTTTGTTTGGTTTGAAGCTTTTCAAACTTTCGCAATTCTGATAAGGAAACCTTTCCTTCGTATTTTTGTGCAACGACTGTTAAGGAAGCTTCTAAAGAAAGACTCGATTAACTACAAAGTTTATAATGATATCTTCCCCACAGGTTCTAAACCCTCACGCTTCCATGACTTACCGAAACTTCACAAGAAACGAGAACCAGAACAATCGCCTCCACTACGACCGATAGTTTTTATAATTAACTCGTACAATTATAATTTAGCTAAGTATCTTAGTTCTCTACTAACACCACTCATACCAGATGACCACTCCACTAAAGATTCTTTCGCTTTCCTCGACGACTTCTCATCTTTCAACTCATAAACTTGTCACAAATTTCTCATCTCCTACGACGTTGAAAGCCTATTTACACTAACACACCACTTACTGAAACCATCAACCTAGCAATTGACCTAATATTCACTCACAACCCTAGGTTCAGTATAAACAGGTCAGACCTCGCACGACTGTTTTTAATAGGATCAGTTGCAGCATAATCATATCTAACATAGATACCGTTAGCTGTATTTATGTAAATAAACCGGGGAATCCAAGGCCACTCTTAGGGGATTACCTGGGTAATTTAACAAACGAAATCACTCAAGAACATGGGGTATGTAGTTACATTACAAGATTTGCATGGGAAAAACATTGTAAGATAAGGGATTTTACTTTGAATTTTAAACATAGCCAAATTCTTAATTTTGATTATGTACGAAATGATATGTAACTATGCACGTTCAGATGTCGAAAATAAGAAAAATAAAATAGATGTTGTAGATAACAGTATAATAGCACAAGAAAAACGGACCCGTCGGCTTGTCAACAAGAAAGAAGTAAAGCAGTATCAGATCGTCTACGACAAAAGAATAATTGTCAACTCTGGTGAAAACACAATACCATAGGGATATTATTGGTCACCAGCTTCTAACTCTGCTAGTCCGTCTGTAAATCACATTATAAGTTTTCCTGATTTAATACTTTATACAATGCTATAGCCCACTGCACTAGGTTGTAAAGTAAATCATAGCTGTGTTGATGACAAAGCTAACGATGAGACATGTAGTGATGAAGAAATGGAAGACGTTTTGGTGTATAATGATGTTGTTAAGGATGGCAATGTCGGTGACATGATTTTGAGAATGAAGAAAACGCAACCGATGTTAGTTTATTGGAAACTGACGACGAGGAAGATGTGGATTTTGAATCAGAGAACGAATATGATAAAACATTTATACACGACATTGAAATGTCTGAAGATGAAAACGACGTTTCTTTTAATCGAAGGTTTAACAGTAATTAATAATTTAATGCTTCTTGACATCGTATTAATATTTTCAAAGATACATTTCTATCTTGAAGGTCGTGGACCATTACTTCTTTCCATTTGCACGATGAACAAACTATGTTGGATGTTGCATTGTTTGCTTTGTTTGCTTTTTGATTGCGCTGCGTAATAATCGTTTGCGTATCGCAAAGCTATCTTGGTTGTTGACATTTGGTAGTGGAAAGCAGAGAAACTTTGGATAAACGCCGAGTGAAAGACAATCTTTGAGAAACATAACATCTAGTTCTGCTTTCCTTTGTTTGGTTTGAAGCTTTTCAAACTTTCGCAATTCTGATAAGGAAACCTTTCCTTCGTATTTTTGTGCAACGACTGTTAAGGAAGCTTCTAAAGAAAGACTCGATTAACTACAAAGTTTATAATGATATCTTCCCCACAGGTTCTAAACCCTCACGCTTCCATGACTTACCGAAACTTCACAAGAAACGAGAACCAGAACAATCGCCTCCACTACGACCGATAGTTTTTTATAATTAACTCGTACAATTATAATTTAGCTAAGTATCTTAGTTCTCTACTAACACCACTCATACCAGATGACCACTCCACTAAAGATTCTTTCGCTTTCCTCGACGACTTCTCATCTTTCAACTCATAAACTTGTCACAAATTTCTCATCTCCTACGACGTTGAAAGCCTATTTACACTAACACACCACTTACTGAAACCATCAACCTAGCAATTGACCTAATATTCACTCACAACCCTAGGTTCAGTATAAACAGGTCAGACCTCGCACGACTGTTTTTAATAGGATCAGTTGCAGCATAATCATATCTAACATAGATACCGTTAGCTGTATTTATGTAAATAAACCGGGGGAATCCAAGGCCACTCTTAGGGGATTACCTGGGTAATTTAACAAACGAAATCACTCAAGAACATGGGGTATGTAGTTACATTACAAGATTTGCATGGGAAAAACATTGTAAGATAAGAGATTTTACTTTGAATTTTAAACATAGCCAAATTCTTAATTTTGATTATGTACGAAATGATATGTAACTATGCACGTTCAGATGTCGAAAATAAGAAAAATAAAATAGATGTTGTAGATAACAGTATAATAGCACAAGAAAAACGGACCCGTCGGCTTGTCAACAAGAAAGAAGTAAAGCAGTATCAGATCGTCTACGACAAAAGAATAATTGTCAACTCTGGTGAAAACACAATACCATAGGGATATTATTGGTCACCAGCTTCTAACTCTGCTAGTCCGTCTGTAAATCACATTATAAGTTTTCCTGATTTAATACTTTATACAATGCTATAGCCCACTGCACTAGGTTGTAAAGTAAATCATAGCTGTGTTGATGACAAAGCTAACGATGAGACATGTAGTGATGAAGAAATGGAAGACGTTTTGGTGTATAATGATGTTGTTAAGGATGGCAATGTCGGTGACATGATTTTTGAGAATGAAGAAAACGCAACCGATGTTAGTTTATTGGAAACTGACGACGAGGAAGATGTGGATTTTGAATCAGAGAACGAATATGATAAAACATTTATACACGACATTGAAATGTCTGAAGATGAAAATAACGTTTCTTTTAATCGAAGGTTTAACAGTAATTAATAATTTAATGCTTCTTGACATCGTATTAATATTTTCAAAGATACATTTCTATCTTGAAGGTCGTGGACCATTACTTCTTTTCCATTTGCACGATGAACAAACTATGTTGGATGTTGCATTGTTTGCTTTGTTTGCTTTTTGATTGCGCTGCGTAATAATCGTTTGCGTATCGCAAAGCTATCTTGGTTGTTGACATTTGGTAGTGGAAAGCAGAGAAACTTTGGATAAACGCCGAGTGAAAGACAATCTTTGAGAAACATAACATCTAGTTCTGCTTTCCTTTGTTTGGTTTGAAGCTTTTCAAACTTTCGCAATTCTGATAAGGAAACCTTTCCTTCGTATTTTTGTGCAACGACTGTTAAGGAAGCTTCTAAAGAAAGACTCGATTAACTACAAAGTTTATAATGATATCTTCCCCACAGGTTCTAAACCCTCACGCTTCCATGACTTACCGAAACTTCACAAGAAACGAGAACCAGAACAATCGCCTCCACTACGACCGATAGTTTTTATAATTAACTCGTACAATTATAATTTAGCTAAGTATCTTAGTTCTCTACTAACACCACTCATACCAGATGACCACTCCACTAAAGATTCTTTCGCTTTCCTCGACGACTTCTCATCTTTCAACTCATAAACTTGTCACAAATTTCTCATCTCCTACGACGTTGAAAGCCTATTTACACTAACACACCACTTACTGAAACCATCAACCTAGCAATTGACCTAATATTCACTCACAACCCTAGGTTCAGTATAAACAGGTCAGACCTCGCACGACTGTTTTAATAGGATCAGTTGCAGCATAATCATATCTAACATAGATACCGTTAGCTGTATTTATGTAAATAAACCGGGAATCCAAGGCCACTCTTAGGGGATTACCTGGGTAATTTAACAAACGAAATCACTCAAGAACATGGGGTATGTAGTTACATTACAAGATTTGCATGGGAAAAACATTGTAAGATAAGGGATTTTACTTTGAATTTTAAACATAGCCAAATTCTTAATTTTGATTATGTACGAAATGATATGTAACTATGCACGTTCAGATGTCGAAAATAAGAAAAATAAAATAGATGTTGTAAATAACAGTAAAATAGCACAAGAAAAACGGACCCGTCGGCTTGTCAACAAGAAAGAAGTAAAGCAGTATCAGATCGTCTACGACAAAGAATAATTGTCAACTCTGGTGAAAACACAATACCATAGGGATATTATTGGTCACCAGCTTCTAACTCTGCTAGTCCGTCTGTAAATCACATTATAAGTTTTCCTGATTTAATACTTTATACAATGCTATAGCCCACTGCACTAGGTTGTAAAGTAAATCATAGCTGTGTTGATGACAAAGCTAACGATGAGACATGTAGTGATGAAGAAATGGAAGACGTTTTGGTGTATAATGATGTTGTTAAGGATGGCAATGTCGGTGACATGATTTTTGAGAATGAAGAAAACGCAACCGATGTTAGTTTATTGGAAACTGACGACGAGGAAGATGTGGATTTTGAATCAGAGAACGAATATGATAAAACATTTATACACGACATTGAAATGTCTGAAGATGAAAATAACGTTTCTTTTAATCGAAGGTTTAACAGTAATTAATAATTTAATGCTTCTTGACATCGTATTAATATTTTCAAAGATACATTTCTATCTTGAAGGTCGTGGACCATTACTTCTTTTCCATTTGCACGATGAACAAACTATGTTGGATGTTGCATTGTTTGCTTTGTTTGCTTTTTGATTGCGCTGCGTAATAATCGTTTGCGTATCGCAAAGCTATCTTGGTTGTTGACATTTGGTAGTGGAAAGCAGAGAAACTTTGGATAAACGCCGAGTGAAAGACAATCTTTGAGAAACATAACATCTAGTTCTGCTTTCCTTTGTTTGGTTTGAAGCTTTTCAAACTTTCGCAATTCTGATAAGGAAACCTTTCCTTCGTATTTTTGTGCAACGACTGTTAAGGAAGCTTCTAAAGAAAGACTCGATTAACTACAAAGTTTATAATGATATCTTCCCCACAGGTTCTAAACCCTCACGCTTCCATGACTTACCGAAACTTCACAAGAAACGAGAACCAGAACAATCGCCTCCACTACGACCGATAGTTTTTATAATTAACTCGTACAATTATAATTTAGCTAAGTATCTTAGTTCTCTACTAACACCACTCATACCAGATGACCACTCCACTAAAGATTCTTTCGCTTTCCTCGACGACTTCTCATCTTTCAACTCATAAACTTGTCACAAATTTCTCATCTCCTACGACGTTGAAAGCCTATTGACACTAACACACCACTTACTGAAACCATCAACCTAGCAATTGACCTAATATTCACTCACAACCCTAGGTTCAGTATAAACAGGTCAGACCTCGCACGACTGTTTTTAATAGGATCAGTTGCAGCATAATCATATCTAACATAGATACCGTTAGCTGTATTTATGTAAATAAACCGGGAATCCAAGGCCACTCTTAGGGGATTACCTGGGTAATTTAACAAACGAAATCACTCAAGAACATGGGGTATGTAGTTACATTACAAGATTTGCATGGGAAAAACATTGTAAGATAAGAGATTTTACTTTGAATTTTAAACATAGCCAAATTCTTAATTTTGATTATGTACGAAATGATATGTAACTATGCACGTTCAGATGTCGAAAATAAGAAAAATAAAATAGATGTTGTAGATAACAGTATAATAGCACAAGAAAAACGGACCCGTCGGCTTGTCAACAAGAAAGAAGTAAAGCAGTATCAGATCGTCTACGACAAAAGAATAATTGTCAACTCTGGTGAAAACACAATACCATACGGATATTATTGGTCACCAGCGTCTAACTCTGCTAGTCCGTTTGAAAATCCCATTATACGTCTTCCTGATTCAATGCTTTATACAATGCTACAGCCCACTGCACTAGGTTGTAAAGTAAATCATAGCTGTGTTGATGACAAAGCTAACGATGAGACATGTAGTGATGAAGAAATGGAAGACGTTTTGGTGTATAATGATGTTGTTAAGGATGGCAATGTCGGTGACATGATTTTTGAGAATGAAGAAAACGCAACCGATGTTAGTTTATTGGAAACTGACGACGAGGAAGATGTGGATTTTGAATCAGAGAACGAATATGATAAAACATTTATACACGACATTGAAATGTCTGAAGATGAAAATAACGTTTCTTTTAATCGAAGGTTTAACAGTAATTAATAATTTAATGCTTCTTGACATCGTATTAATATTTTCAAAGATACATTTCTATCTTGAAGGTCGTGGACCATTACTTCTTTTCCATTTGCACGATGAACAAACTATGTTGGATAATGCATTGTTTGCTTTGTTTGCTTTTTGATTGCGCTGCGTATTAATCGTTTGCGTATCGCAAAGCTATCTTGGTTGTTGACATTTGGTAGTGGAAAGCAGAGAAACTTTGGATAAACGCCGAGTGAAAGACAATCTTTGAGAAACATAACATCTAGTTCTGCTTTCCTTTGTTTGGTTTGAAGCTTTTCAAACTTTCGCAATTCTGATAAGGAAACCTTTCCTTCGTATTTTTGTGCAACGACTGTTAAGGAAGCTTCTAAAGAAAGACTCGATTAACTACAAAGTTTATAATGATATCTTCCCCACAGGTTCTAAACCCTCACGCTTCCATGACTTACCGAAACTTCACAAGAAACGAGACCCAGAACAATCGCCTCCACTACGACCGATAGTTTCTTTAATTAACTCGTACAATTATAATTTAGCTAAGTATCTTAGTTCTCTACTAACACCACTCATACCAGATGACCACTCCACTAAAGATTCTTTCGCTTTCCTCGACGACTTCTCATATTTCAACTCATCAACTTGTCACAAATTCCTCATCTCCTACGACATTGAAAGCCTATTTACACTAACACACCACTTACTGAAACCATCAACCTAGCAATTGACCTAATATTCACTCACAACCCTAGGTTCAGTATAAACAGGTCAGACCTCACACGACTGTTTAATAGCAACAGCACAGACGCCTTTTTTATTTTTTGGAAAATTTTATGACCAGTTGGACGGTGTTAAGTTGGGCTCTTCCTTAGCACCCATACTTGCTAACATTTTCATGGGCTAATATGAACGAAAGTCGCTAAAGAACTACAACGACACTAGGCCACTATTTTACCGCAGATACGTTGCCGATATTTTTTGTGTTTTTACTAACAAAACTTAGGCCATGAAGTTTTATTATTACATTAACACACAGCACGCAAACATTAGAGTTTCATTTGAAACTGAACAACAAGGTGAACTGCGATTTCTTGACATTTTACTAACAAAATCCCATGACAGCTGTACAACATCTACATATCACAAACCAACATACACAGGACTTCTGACAAACTATTTTAGTTTCGGAGGAAAAGAAGTAGAGATTTCGAAAACAACCGAAAGCCCTTATTCTTCTGATTTGCACGGATTCGTCATGATTTATGTATATTGTAACATTGTACAACCGCAAGTTGTTGGAGACGTCAATGTAAAATTACTAAAGGCAGTTGCTATTCAAGGAAAATATGGAGTCATTGCTTCAAGATCATTCACTAATATTCAATATTTACCCGTGCAAACAAAATCCTTTGAGCACATCGATTTTCTCTTAAGGGACGAGTAAGGAAATCCCATCGTATTTGAACGAGGGAAGTCAATAGTGACACTTCATTTCAGAAAAGAAGCCTTACTTTATTTTACATAACAAAAAAAATATGAGTAGAACAAACCGTTATGTTCAATATTATCTCATTCAGCAAAAAGGATACGGATCGCAACCTGTCTTTAGGGGAGCATCCTGGCAAAAATTTATGGGCAGATGGGTTATGGTCTTGCTGGTTTATTTCGTAGATTGGCTAGAGCTGCAATACCTTCGGCAAAAACCGGCGCAAAAGCTCTAGGTAAAATTGCCCTCGATACAGGTGCAAACGTTTTGGGCGATGTTATCTCAGGGAAAAGTTTTAAAAAGGCTGCAAAATCTCGTGTTAATGAAGCAGCAAAGGAAACAGGGAAAAAAGCTGTAAACCGTATGCAACAGTTTGCTCAAACAGGAAGAGGAAAATTCATCCAAGAGACATAAAGCAGCTAAAGAAGCAGAAGATATTTTCGGTTAAACATGGAGTTCGTTCATCCAAAATCAGCAGAATGTACAAAAAGTGAACTTGGTATATTTTTCGTACCCGCAACACAAACCAGTTTGGAAAAGGGGCGATGGATAGACCATCCACCGGTCTCTAGTGTATCTGAAAGCGGTCCGATTACTTTTTAGTGCCAGGTACAGAAGATTATGTTGACTTATCTAACACAATATTGATGGTCAGAGAAAAAGCAACGAAAGCCGACGGTGTAAATCTCGACGATGGCGCAATTTCTTGGTGTTTTTCCAGCCAATCGTTTACCTAAAGTAATCAAAAGCTATCCGAATGCCGAATGGGCTTATAGCAAACACCGATATCAGCGGAAACCTGGAAGTCATTGGGTTGCATTTTACTTTCCGTCTGAACGAAAAGCCGAATTTTTCGACAGCTACGGCCAATCACCTGAGATTTATCATAAATTCTTTAGAAACTATTTGAAAAATTATGATTGGGATTTTAATACACGCAAATTACAAAGTATTGGGACCGATGTATGTGGATAATATTTTACCTAAGCCTAAGAGTGCGAGGCCATAGTATGAGTAGAATTGTAGGCATGTTTGATGGTAATACTGTTGAAAACGATAAGAAGGTATCGAATTTTGTAAACAAACATTTTCAAATAGAAACTAGTGTAAAATCCCTAAAGATGTAAATCAGTCAAGTACAAACTTATATGTAAAAGATTGAAGTGTTAATTATCAATAAAAAAGTTCTTTGTATAACTTAATTGCCTGCGTTTTGTATTTACATATTCTAATTGACAACAATCAGGAAATTGATATCAACTGCGATTTTTATTTAAAGAAAAAATCTTTTACAAAATATATTAATAGCTTACCAACGTAAATGAGTTTTCTTGTTCGTAGAGGAAGATTTGGGCGTTGTCAATTTCGTTTTTGATGAACTAGGATCAACTGTTTCGTTTTCTTCACGTGGTGAAGTTTCCATTTGAACTAAGTCTCGAGGAATGTTTATTTTTGATAAAACACGAAAGAATTCTTTAGTCCCTTCAGGATTGAAATTTTTCCTTCCTCTCACAGCATCGCTAATTAGATCTGTTATGTTTGATTGCGGCATGATGACTCCCTCAAGTTTGACTTGTCCAGAACCGTCACAAGATATTATACTCGGTTTGTTCTAAGACGCTGCAATATTGCTTTCGTCCGCTCACGCATAGTTTTTGGCACACTTTATACAATGACAGAGTCAGCTAATGTCTGCATTTCATTGTCGTTTATTGAGTTTTTTCATTTCCATGAACAGTGTCTACCACGCGTACCATGGGTGTCTGATTATCTTTCTTTTGCTTCAATTTAAGGAATTGTTCAAAGTTTGCGTTAAAACGTTTTATTCTTTGATCGTCACTCACATCGTCTTGTTGAAGAATATGTAAGAGCTGCGAATCTTTATTCCTCATATT